ATTTAAAATTGATAATTTATTATCTTCTTTGGAAAACTTATTATTTTATTATCCTAAGGGCATTTTACCCCTGTTGGGAGGGTCGCTAGTAATTCATATTTTTACTGTAAGTATATAACACTAATAGAAGTTTTTTAGATCACATTTAAAATTGATAATTTATTATCTTCTTTGGAAAACTTATTTTATAATCCTAAGGGCATTTTACCCCTGTTGAGAGGGTCGCTAGTAATTCATATTTTTACTGAGGTTATATAACACCAATAGAAGTTTTTAAGATCACATTTAAAATTGATAATTTATTTCTTCTTTGGAAAACTAATTATTTTGTTATCCTAAGAGCATTTTACCCCTGTTGGGAGGATCGCTAGTAATTTATATTTTTACTGTAAGTATATAACACTAATAGAAGTTTTTTAGATCACATTTAAAATTGATAACTTATTTTCTTCTTTGAAAAACTAATTATTTTATTATCCTAAGGGCATTTTACCCCTGTTGGGAGGGTCGCTAGTAATTTATATTTTTACTGTAAGTATATAACACTAATAGAAGTTTTTAAGATCTCATTTAAAATTGATAATTTATTTTCTTCTTTGGAAAACTACTTATTTTATTATCCTAAGGGTATTTTACCCTTATTGGGAGGGTCGCTAGTAATTTATATTTTATCTGTAAGTATATAATCCTAATAGAAGTTTTTTTAGATCACATTTGAAATTGATACTTTATTTCCTTCTTTGGTCAACTAATTTTTTTATTATCCTAAGGGCATTTTACCCCTGTTGGGAGGGGCTACAGTAATTCATATTTTTATTATAATGTATTTTAACTAATAAAAACACAGTTTAAAGTGATAACTTATTTGTTTCTCCGACAAAATAAATATTTTATTATTACGTGGTAGTTTACCCTTGTGGGAATTTTTTATTATATCTATCATATTTTTTGTTTGAGTTAATACTACCATTATAAATATTGTAAAATACCTTTTAATGTGACTTATTACCTTGTCGGGTAAAATAATAATATTTTTAAAGTATTCTATTGTCCTTTTAATTTTAATTAATATTGATGTGACAATTAAAAGAACATCCTATTATCAAATTTTGGTAGAAGAATTAATTGCCTCTATTTAAATGACGCTACTGATCATTCGGTAATATTCGGAATTTTGGCTGCTAGAAATTGGCTGCTAAGTTCACACCGGTCACATAACTTACGCTTCTGGACATCCATTTTTAATAAATTTTAATGACTTTAAAAGCAAATCGAACATAAATATAAGCTTGTTTTTGGACAGCCATATTAAGAAATCAAAACACAATAAAAAAAATATGACTGAAACTTTATTAGATATATATTTAAAAAAAGTAAAATACCCCTATTTTTTTTTTTCGAAATAAATTCATTCTGTAAATTCTTTAGCATTAAAATAAACTTTGAAAATTCAAAAAATTTGGGCGCGTGAAAATTTACTTTACATAGGCACATTTTTTAATAGGTTAGACATTTTTTATAACAAAAACCCTAAAAAATGGGCAATTTTTGAAAATAATGCATCAACGTGTTTTGATAAAGTACAAAAAGGACCGTTCCTATAAATACCATATTTGTTGTTAAATGTTATTTACTAATTTATATAATTTAATGTATTTCTGAATTTCCTAATTTCCTATTACTGACTTATAAATATTAATTGTTTGTCGACCCTCCTGTCGTCCACCACTGCTTAAGCCTAGGCGTGTGTCTCTTAATAATTATTAACTACCATTATCACATCACATGACACAACGGAATTAGTGCATTTAGCTGGTAAGTTTGTGCTATTAGTAATACTAAACTGGTCTGGTTCTTAATTAACCTTAATTAAAGAGGGCATTTTTGCTCGTGTTATTAAAATATCGCAATAAAACCATTGTCGACAATTATTTCCTCTAGTTTTTCAGCTATAAAATGACTCACGCATTCAGAGCATTGCAAAATAGATAGGTACTTTAGACGTTATTTCATTTCAAAGTTTATCTTTACGTAATTCACAAGTTTTTTCCATTAAATAACCTAAAGAAGTTGTAAAAAAAATTGCTGACTTTCTCATTTATTTTTAACTTTTATCGAAATAATATCATTACAACCATATCATTTAGTGACAAATAAAAGAACGAAATTCATACTATACAATTTTTATTTTCATTGAATTATCAATAGAAAGTAAAATTTTATCGAAATAATCTCCTTAAAACCTCTTAATGACATCATTTGACGACAGCCAAGAGTACAAAAATCATACTATATACGTTTTTTTTTATTAAGCCATTATAAGATGCAAAAAACTTTCTAATAATTATTTTTTTTAAGTTCTGTTGAAATAATCTTATTACAATCCCGTAGGTATAACAAACTGCATTTGGTGACAGATAAGAGTGCAAAAATCATAATTTACAAGATTTTTTTCAAATTGAATCATCAAAAGATGTAAACAATTTTTCTCCATACTTTGTAATAATTATTTTTAAATTTTATCATTTGGTGACAAGAGCACAACAATCTTACTCTACCAATTAATCATTAGAAAAAGGCGCAAAAAACTTTTCTCCTTACCTACTCTCTAATTATTTTTAAGTTTTATTGAAATAATTTCATTACAATTCTGTATCATTTGGTGACACATAGGAATACCAAAATCATGCTCTACAATTTTTTTTTATTGTTACTCATGAAACGGTGTAAAAAGTTTTATCAAAATAATATCAATACAAAGAACATGGCGGCAAATAAAACAAAAATCATTCTATCATAAGGTGTAAATTTGACCTTATACTTTATAATAATTATATTTAAGTTTTATTAACTTTATAATCCCATATAATACACTGCATTTGGTGACTGATAATAGTACATAAATCATAATTCACAAGATTTTTTTGGATTGAATAATTAAAAAAGGTATAAACAATTTTTCTTCATAGATTATAATATTCATTTTTAAGTTTAACGCATTAATATCATTTGGTGACAAATAAGAGCACAACAGTCATACAAAAACATTTTCTGCTTACTTTCCAATAATTATTTTTAAGTTTTATCTAAATATCATTACAAACATCATTTGGTGACTAATAAGAAAACAAAAATCATGCTCTACAAGTTTTTTCCATTCTATTATACTTGAGTGTTAATTTTCTCCTTACTTTCTAATAATTATTTTTAAATTCTATTAAGATAATTTCATTATAACCCTGTAAAATAAGCTGCACTTGGTGATAGATAAAAGCACAACAATTTTTTTCCAATGAATTGTCAGAAGATGTATAAACTTTTCCCCTATCTAATTTTTTTGAGTTTTATTTAAATAATCTCATTACAATTATGTATAACATTGTTTGGTGACACATAAATGTACAAAAATTATACTCTACATTTTTTTTCATTGAACACTGGAAAAACTTCTGCATACTTTCCAATCATTATTTTTAAGTTTTATTGACATAAAATTATTACAAACATTATTTGGTGACAAATAAGAAAAAAATCATGCTTTACACGTTTTCTCCATTCTATCATAATGTGTAAATTTTCTCCTTACTTTTTAATAATTATTTTGTTTCTATTAAATTTACAACCCCATATAACAAACTGCATTTGGTGACAGATGCAAGCACATAAATCATAATTTACAAGAGTTTTTGAATGAATTATTAAAAAAATATATATAAACAATTTTTCTCCATATTGTAATATTCATTTTTAAGTTTAACGCATTAATATTATTTGGTGACAAATAAGGGCACAACAGTCATACTCTAACAATTTTTTACAAACGAATCGTCAACAGAAGATGTAAAAAACTTTTCCTCTATCTAATTATTTTCACGTTTTATTAAAATACTCTCATTATAACCCTATAAAACAAACTGCATTTGGTGATAGATGAAAGCACAACAATTATACTCTAGAATTTTTACTAATGAATCGCCAGATGTAAAAAGCTTTTTTCCTAACTATATATATTTTTTACTTTTATAGAAATAATCTCACAATAAATCTGTATAACAAACATCATTTGGTGACCAATAAGTGTACGAAAATTATACTCTGCAATTTTTTTCATTGATCATTAAATGGTGGAAAAACTTCTGCATACTTTCCATTCATTATTTTTAAGTTTTATTGAAATAAAATCATTAGAAATATCATTTGGTGACAAGAAAAAATCATGCTCTACAAGTTTTCTCCATTCTATCATGTGTAAATTTTCTTCTTACTTTTTAATAATTATTTTAAAGTTCTTATTAAATTTACAACCTCGTATAACAAACTACATTTGGTGATAGATAAGAGCACGAAAATCATATTTCACAAGCTTTTTTTATTATTTTAATAATCAAAAAGGTATAAACAATTTTTCTATGTAATAATTATTTTTAAGTCTGTCGAATTAATATCATTTGGTGACAAATAAAAGAACAAAAATTACACTTTACAATTTTTAATCAATAAATTATTGATAATCTTCTTTACATTGATAAAAATAGTGTAAAAAAAATTTCTGCTTACTTTCCAATAATTAGTTTCAAGTTTTATCGAAATAATATCATTACAAACATCATTTGGTGACAAATAAGAAAACAAAAATCATGATCTACAAGTTTTTTTCAAATCTATCATGAGGTATAACTTTTCTCCTTACTTTCTAATAATTATTAAGTTTTATTAAAATAATCTCATTACAACCTTGTACAACAAACTGCATTTTTTGACATTAAGAGCTCAAAAATCATAATTTATCAAGATTTTGTTTGAATTAAATAATTAAAATGTGTAGAAAACTTTTCTTCTGACTTTATAAGAATTATGTTTTAAGTTTTATTGAAATAATCTCATTACGACCCTGAATAACATTATTTGGTGACAGATAAGAGTACAAAAATAATCATCAAAGAATTCCGTGATAACCGATGAGGTGACAAGGAGTATTAAGAATCAATATTTGAACTTACCATGGTATCTTTTATCACAACAACAATGATCGCTGATGAGATCAGCCCCGAGACAGTATCGCTCTTCTTTGGCGTTACATTTTTGACAGCCCGGTGGAATTTCAACTGAAACAATAACAAACTTTTCTAAAAATCTACCAACACTTTCTACTCCTAAAAATCTTTTCAATTACTTATCTCTATAAAGTTTGAATAATTTATATGAATTGTTAAAATAATAAAATTATTTGTCGCAAAAAATACAATAATATATTCCAAATAATAAGTTAAATTGATTGTATATTCGTGTAGGTACCTATAGGGACATATTATTGATTTCCTAAATAATACCTAGACGTGTTCCCGGAAGAATAAAGACCTAGATGGATCGATAATCTTGCATAATTTATTCCTTAAATGATACAAAAGTTCAAAGGGTAGACACGCACCATAGCTACCCTTTTCGTTGTCATTACATTGACCCTTACCCTTTAACTTACGTTACCTTTATAAATGCATCAATAAATTTACAAAAGGAGTGAAGGTTTGTCAATAAACTGGACTTTTAAACAGCATACTTTACATTATACAGAATTTTCAAAAAATACTGTACGGAAGATTATTTTATAATGTAGGTAAAGAAATTTCCTAAGAAAACCCTCTGATACAAAAGGGCAGCAACTAATTAATTAAAATATGGACACTGATTTTTTTCTAATCAGTAACTTAAAGAATCTTTTATTTTTAAACAAAGCTGTTTCAGGAAGTTCCCTCACATTTGAAATAAATACACGTTATTTAAACATTAAAACAATGATCAAATCCTCCGATATTTGAGGTCTTCTAAAATATTCTGTACTATAGAAAAAATACTCACTTGAACTGAGGTTCATGGCGATAACGGCATTTTTGGCTGAACCTGAAGATATTTCATGCTCTATGATATATTCCTCGTATCTAGAAGACTTATCGTACTCCGCTACTGGTGTCGATGTACCATTTCCTATCAATAAGCAAATGACTAGGACCTTTACGAAAAATATCACCATTTTTCATGATGATACGTAGAAAAATGTGTTTCCTGAAAAAAAAAAAAAAAATAGACAAGTAAAATAAAAAGTACGATTGAATGCTTTGATTGGAAAATTTGATATTAAAATACTGTCAAAGTGACATAAGGATGTTTCTGACAGATAAATGAGAGGGTTTTTGATGTTCTATTAGCTACAGGGTGTAAAAATAACTTGATAATATTTTGTAGGTAAGATTTCACCGGTAAATACAGTCTGTTCGCTATACTTACGCGGGTTTCGGATTAAAATTTTTATGAGTATTTCCAGGTAAGTACCCGAAAGTTTGACCTGTTCTTTGGGGAAATATCAACTGGTTAAATGAAATGAAAAATAATGTACAACTTTTTAATTAAATAATAATGGAGAAACGTTTGTATAATTGAGAGCAGAATTAAACTTCTTTATTAATGGAGTCTAATGTGGCTATTATAAACCTAATAATAATTTTATATTACACTTCACAGACAAAATATGGTCTATGTATAATAAGAGGGTTATTTAGCTCAAATAAAATATTTTCTAACATAAAAATTTGTTCCATGTAGAGAATTTCAAATAAAAAATAAAAAAATTGAACTTGCCAACAAAAATGAAAATCAGTCATTATCATCCAAAATATCATAATCGTCATCATCATCACTGTCATCGCCATTAATTGTTATTATGATTGGACTTATTTCGTTTATTTTATTTTCACGAGTCCACCAATCTTCTATTAGTTTCTCGCACTTGGATATACAGTTCCGCCACACTTCTGGAGTTGCAATTGAAAGTGCTTTTCGCCAAGTTTCCCGAACTGCGTCGTCACTATAACCATTAGGCCCAATATGGTTGTCATAATATTGTTTTGCTATTCCCCATATATATTCGATGGGATTAAACTGGCAATGATACGGTGGCAGACGTAAAACTTGATGACCGTAACTTTCAATAATCTGATCCACAACAAAAGTTTTTGGTTTTGCGTGTATATTTGCCAAGCGTAATAATTCTGATTTTATATGGAAATGGTTTGTGTTCCTTTGTCAACCATTCTTTAATTTTATCAACAGTTCAAGAATTCGTTGGACTTCTGTTTAATACTTCAGAATGGTAAGGTGCATTGTCTAAAATAATTACGCTGGGCTCACTTAAACCTCATATTATCGTGATAGTCACTGGATTTTGATTTAGATGAAAATATTAGATCAGCACCTTCTATAAAACCCGATTTCCCTCCTGCATGTAAAATTATGTGTCGCTTCCCTTCTCCATCGGTATGTTTGATGGACTTTACGTTATCATCTTGTCATATTCTCTTGGTTGCATCCCTAGAAAATATCCATGTTTCGTCTAAATATATAAAATTCGCCCCTTCTTTAAATTTAGAATATTTTCTTAGAAAGATAATTCTTTTGTGCACGACAGAACTTCTTTCACAAAGGGCCTTTCTGTTATCCTCCTTTTGCAATTTGAAACCCAAGTTATGTATCACTTGCCATAGACTTGTTCTGCCAATGTCGTCAAATTTTCTATTTATTAATTCTTAGAGAATTGTACTTAAGGTCACAAGTTCCTTGTTGGCCCTCATTCGATAAATGGTATCACGAATTTTAAATTTCTTTCCATCTGGAATATCTTTCGTTTTCAATGATGGGCGAGTTTTGCGGTGATCTTCTTTCGGCAGTTCACTATTGTGATTTTGTAATACTCCTCTTAATTTGGTTTCACTAATTCCTAGAGCATCGCATACGCGTTGTTGTACAGACATTACCGATTTTAAAGGACCGCCATTTTCTTTTTTATCCGTAAAATACTTATGTACACTACAAATTAGACTATCTACATCTAACACACGTCTAGGCATTTTTAAAATTTCCACAATATACATACAATGTCAACACTTGCAAAGAATCAATTCAACTGCAATATTTGTAACAGATTTAGTACCTACCCTAATGTTATTTTAATTTAAATCTGACCATTAGGGCAATTTTACCTGATTTCTTGGGAAGAGGCTTATTGGAACTGGTTGTCAATGACAAATTTGCATAATTTTGTTAATCCGAAACCCGCGTAAGTACAGCGAACAGACTAGACTGTAGATTTCTTGTATTTAATACCCTGAAAAACCTTCTTTAACCCATTTTTTTACTTACCCTTTTTATCAGCGTGAAATGTGCTGTCTTTCAGTGCCAATTTTGTATATTTTTACACCAATATTATACACATATTTGTTAAGTAACTACCTTAATGAGGTGATAATATTTTACAATTCAAAATTGCCTTTTTAACATAAATTAAAATTCAATATTTTACACCAGGTGGTACCTTAAATACATACGTGAAATTTTCAAGTCATTATTGTATACCAAGTAAGTATAATTTATTTTTTGTTTGATAAGACTTGGGAATTATGTATAAAAATAATTAAAAAAATATTAAGTAGGTCATATTTTTCACATTAAAAAACGTCTAGGTATTAATATGTTTTTAAGCGGTACTTATAAGACTAATAAAATAAAGAATCTCTAAATTAATATCACATAAAAAAGGTTTATTAAAATAGAATGAAGTTGCAACTAGTTTCGTCTAATTATCCCTTTTCAGGTCTGTGATACACAAATTTTTAAATATAACAGGTTAACAATTTTTAAAATTATGATACTTAGATTTCAAATACAAATAAAAGTTAAAAAAAATCTTAATATTCATATAACACGTGTAGTAATACTTGCACGGCAAATAATAATAATATCCGTCCCTGTCCCCGCACAAGCTCAGCTTTTGGGGTTAAAATTCACTCGTAAAGGGGTGAATTAGGGAGAGTATTATTATTATTATTATAATATTATTATAAACAACTATATGTTGGGACGATTACTTTTTAAATCTTAGAACGGTGCGGAATTGACGGCGATTTTATTATCACATTTAATAAAGATTTGCGATTTCGATAAAATATTGGTTCTAGAAGTACGCATCAAAACGATTTTAGACGCATTTAATCTTGGAACTAAAAATATAACTTCAAGAAATAATGGGCAATTGATTAGATCAAGGTTGATTCTATAAATAACAGAAATTGACATTACAACTCCGCGAGTTTCAAGTGCTTAGATGACAAATCGATTTCGCCAGACTTGTTCGTAGACTATAAAGCTAAGAAATTTTAAAAACTTTCGTTTGATACCTTCTATGCAAGGCTTTTGGGTAGCTCTGTTTTTAGATACCAAATTAAGGACTTATATTCAAGTTTAGAATGTACAAAAACAAAATATGTGCCGTCAAAGTTAACTTTGAGTCAAATATAACACCTAAGTCTTGGACTTTTGAATATCTGGACAATATTTTTATTGTTTATTGCATAACATTTGCAACATTTTTCAACAACACAACCTTATATTAATCAGAACAATAACAATCTTGATTTAGTGTTGTACAATAATAGTTGTGAAGTAGAGAAATCTAATGATATGTTGGTTAATGAGGATATTTACCATCCATCACTGTTAATATCATTGAAACTGAAATCAAAAAGCGATGAATCTTCAAACACTTTGTCAAACACACAACTACCAAAATTCATATAATTATATGATTTCTAACATTGATTGGACATTCTTAGAAGCTTTTGATAATGCAGATCAAGCTTGCACATATTTATATGGTAAGCTGTACAGTATTTTTGTTAATTGTGTACAAAAAGTGAGTACTATCAAAAGGAGAAAGTATCTTCTCTGGTTTATACCTAGCATAATAAAAAGTCAAAATGTTTTCATAAATATAAATGTCACAAAGATTTAACAGTTTTAAATGAATTTCGAGAACTTAGAGCTTCAATAAAACATGAAAACAAAGCATATGTTCAATCAATGGAGAGTGACATTTGTTAAGAGCAAAAAGGGTACGTTTAACGGTAACATTCTATCAACCACATCCAATTTAATTCATATTACTCAGTACATAGCAAAGGACCTAGACAACCATTTTCAGAGTAATGTAATATATATATATATAGATTTCTCAGAAGCTTTCGATAGACTTGACCATGGTATATTATTAAACAAACTGAACAAAATTGGATTTTCATCGAGTCTCACACGTCTGTTTCATTCTTATCTATCGGATAGAAAACAATTTGTTGAATGCCGTGGTCACAGGTCTGTCGAATATTTTGGAACCTCTGGAGTACCCCAAGGATCAAATCTTGGTCCCCTTCTCTTTAATATTTTTATTAACGACATCTTTGAGTATATTAATGTGAATGTCTTGTTATATGCGGATGATATGAAAATATTTCATAGAATTTCCGATGTTGGTGATTGTCAAACACTGCATGCAAACCTAACCAATGTCAGCGAATGGTGGAGGTTGAATAATTTACCTCTTAATGTCTTATACTTTAAGATCGGAAATAAACTTTAATGTATATGCTTGACGAAACTAGTATCCAGAAAACATATTCATTTGTAGATCTAGGAGTAATATTTGATCCTAAACTATCTTTTGTAAATCACATCAAAAATAATGTTATCTGGCTAACAGATCTTATGGATGTGTTGTTTGGTACCCTTGAGTTTTTACAGATATCGTTACTCTCAAACATCTTTATTTTAGAGTTTGCATCGTTACTTTGGAGTGCCAACTACAAAATTCATATTGACAGCCTGAAATCAATTTAACGTCGATTTTTGAAGTTCCAGTCTTTAAAAATGGGTGAATATTCTAAAATTGGTATTCCACATAATGAGTTATTAATAATCAATTTACAGCCTGGAAAATAGAAGACTTTTTCTTCAAATGTGCTTCTATTCAAAATTATTCAAAATCAATGTGATTTTCAATATTTTCGGGAAAAACTTCTTTTCTATATTTCTAGATTGACGTCTCGAGTCAATCTGCCCTTTTACTTGCCAACCCCACATACTAACATTTGTAAAAAGTCGCCGTTTCAAAGAATATGCAAAAAGTATAACATCATCTGTCAATTCATAGATATCTTTGTCAAATTAAGTATTTTTTATTTAATTCTAATTAATAGGTTGTCATAAAATGTATTATATTTTAAGAAAAATGTAAGACTTCTATGTTTTTTATATGTTCTTAGTTTGTAATTAGAGCTAATCTGTAAACTAAGTAAATAAATAATTAAAATTTATGGTGTTTTCATGGTATATATTATAACTTTACATTTTTTAATAGCATACATCAAATTAGCAACTGATCTAACTGATCCTGAAGAAATAGACAGTCACTTATATCAGAAATTTAAAAAAAGAGCTTTAAAATATCTGCAAACAAGAGTATTGAACAATAAATGAAAACTGTAATAACGTTGATGAAAAATAAAAAAAGTAGGAGTTCTAAATTAGACCCTTGAGGCACCCCCGACGTACCGAAAAATAGGTTTGATGAGAAGCCATTATAGGTTTTTTATTCTTTTTTAATTAAAATTAAGTACTTTTGTTTTGAAAAATATATCTAAAATATTTTTAAGTGTCTTTGGTAACCGAATTATTTAATTAATAACTCTCTATGACGTAAATATTTTCATTAGCTGTATGATGATCTTTTCTAATATTATTTACATATAATATAAATAATAAGGGCCCTAATATTAATCCTTTAGGTTTTTCTTAATTGTATTTGAGTATCATCATAAACGTTTTCTGAAACATATCTTTTTATTTATCAATTATTTAATAAAAGAAGATTAAATTTGAAATAGATCTTATAACAATATTTTTTAGATTTACTTCAAATATTACTTACGCTGTTTAGTTCATGTCATTTCCAATTCTTTTCATAAATAAAGTAAAAAAATAGTACATAAAATATCGCACCTTTTCTTTTCTATCCAAAAAAACTTCAAAACACTCAGAAAGCACGCCTTTTTTACAAACTGGAATAAATCGCGACCACTGAAAAACGCAACTGACACCAGGCACTGCCACTGTCCTGTTTAAACGCACTATTTAGAATGAAAGAATGAAATGAGTAACAAAACAATCGATGGCAGTTCACCTAAAGTAAGTTATAAAGAAAATAGTCCGGTCCCTATACAACTGCGCGAAATATTTTTATGATCGAGCGATCATCATTTTGGTCAAATTACAAAAAGGAAAAGGATTAGTCAATAAATGTTAATAAAGGATGAAAGCTACATTATGCGTTTATAATATACAAAATGAGGTTTTATTCCCTATTACAAACCGTTAGATGGAAAACGGGAATAAAAAAAGCGACATGACTCGTCTATTACAAAGAAGTAGGTCAAAAGAACTCGATTAGAACAGCTACGATTCCCCCGGGAATGAATAGCCCCTAGGGGCCCTAGGTACAGCGCGCATCACAAATGTTACGGAAAAATTGTAAGGATGGTCGAGTAATACCTTATTTGAAAGGGATTTTAATTCTTCATTTAAAGGTGTAAAGCGGCTTAAATTTCTTTCAAAATATAGGGTGTTCCTAAATATCATGTGTATGCGGAAAGGAGTAGTTCTTTGGCTTATTTCATGACTAAAAATTCATATAAACATAGGGCCGTAAAGGCTTCATTACCTACAGGATGTTGAAATTTCAACATTTTCTTTTCTTTGTAGCTCCTGCAGTTTTTGAGATATTTAGCTCAAATTTGGAAGTTATGCTGTTTACATCACTTCAAATGGTTGTGAGAATCTATACGTTGATGTTTTCTCAAGATTCATGTCCCCTTTTCTTCTCCTGAATTAATTGTTTTGCTGTGCGCCGTTGTTAGGTTTTGAAAATACATTATTTTCTGGTCTCTTGTAGTTTTTTTAAACAGGGTGAGTTTTAAGTATTATCTCGAAAACGGCTTGCACGATTTTTATAAACTTTGGTATGTAAAGGTTTTGTAATATGGCCGATAATATAGTTATATTTACATTGTTGTCAGATCTTCCGGTTTTCTGGAAATATAATGAACTTTGTTATTCCAAATGGATCACCCCGTATATTTTTTGTTTTTTGAAATCTTTAAGAAATATTGATTATTTTTCATGTAATGGTCCCTATGCATAAATACCATAATTTCGGAGTTACAGCTACATTTACATTATCACCGCGGAAGTTAAAATAATACATTTAGATAGCTATGACTGATATAATAACAACTTTGATATTTCAATTATTGTTGGTATTTATTGAAAGTGACAATGGATCGATTATCTGAGAAAGAACGAATTGAGATTTTAATAATAGTAGGAAATGGTGATATGCGTAATACAGAGTTGCCAGATCGTTTTAGATCATCCGACTAATTAAAAACTACGAACGTTTGACAGCAAATGCCTCTAAAGGTTTGTTCCAACACAATAGCAAATCGGTTTACGTACTGTCTGGATTCTGCGCAGTCTAGATTTGGTGTTCCAACAAACTTTAGACTCAAAACTGAACAAAAACATAGTGTTCCACCGCACCCAAACCTAATCACAAACCAGTTTCTTTACTGTCAAATCAGTTCCTAGGTCTGAATATGAACGAATTGTCAAGACATGCGCAAAACACGAAAGTAAACCACGACCAACTCTAAAAAATTCGTGAATATATTTTTTTTATAGCATCGATCGTAGCCTTGATCCAAGATATCCTATTATCAGAGAGAACACGTTATCTCTGCTTTATCTATCATAATTTGGTTTTCATTCATTATCATTATTTATAGTCTATTATTTAATACGTGTACCTATCTGTTGACTTTTTAATAATGAGAAATGAGTAAATAAAGTAAAAAGAACAGTTATTCTGACTTAAATGTAATAAAAAATTAAAATAAATAAAGTTTAATGTACCAACCAACCAACTAACCAATCAACCAATCAACCAACCAACCAACCAACCAACCAACCAACCAACCAACCAACCAACCAACCAACCAACCAACCAACCAACCAACCAACCAACCAACCAACCAACCAACCAACCAACCAACCAACCAACCAACCAACCAACCAACCAACCAACCAACCAACCAACCAACCAACCAACCAACCAACCAACCAACCAACCAACCAACCAACCAACCAACCAACCAACCAACCAACCAACCAACCAACCAACCAACCAACCAACCAACCAACCAACCAACCAACCAACCAACCAACCAACCAACCAACCAACCAACCAACCAACCAACCAACCAACCAACCAACCAACCAACCAACCAACCAACCAACCAACCAACCAACCAACCAACCAACCAACCAACCAACCAACCAACCAACCAACCAACCAACCAACGAACCAACGAACCAACCAACCAACAAACAAACAAACAAACAAACAAACAAACAAACAAACAAACAAACAAACAAACAAACAAACAAACAAACAAACAAACAAACAAACAAACAAACAAACAAACAAACAAACAAACAAACAAACAAACAAACAAACAAACAAACAAACAAACAAACAAACAAACAAACAAACAAACAAACAAACAAACAAACAAACAAACAAACAAACAAACAAACAAACAAACAAACAAACAAACAAACAAACAAACAAACAAACAAACAAACAAACAAACAAACAAACAAACAAACAAACAAACAAACAAACAAACAAACAAACAAACAAACAAACAAACAAACAAACAAACAAACAAACAAACAAACAAACAAACAAACAAACAAACAAACAAACAAACAAACAAACAAACAAACAAACAAACAAACAAACAAACAAACAAACAAACAAACAAACAAACAAACAAACAAACAAACAAACAAACAAACAAACAAACAAACAAACAAACAAACAAACAAACAAACAAACAAACAAACAAACAAACAAACAAACAAACAAACAAACAAACAAACAAACAAACAAACAAACAAACAAACAAACAAACAAACAAACAAACAAACAAACAAACAAACAAACAAACAAACAAACCAACAAACCAACCAACAAACCAACCATTTATAAATGTTTTAATGCGTATTATAATTTTTTTACTTCCCAAATTCAATATTTAATATTTGTTAAATTTGTTTGACTTTGACATTTTTGATATTGACAGAGTGTGTCTGACAAAATAACACCAAAATCATGGTTCCTGAAATATAGAATTCGGTCGAAAATTTAAATGAACGAAATCGCCTAGATGTCAAAGATTATAAATTACGGCCTACTATGACAATGTCTGTTTGTTTGTCAAATTACTGTTGTACACTTGTACACTTTTCAATCAACTATGAATTTCTCGATGAATCAACTTCCGAAACACCTGGATCAAGCATCCTATGAGTCCACCTTAAATCCTGAAGGTCAGCTTGAAGGATAAGTGATCACTAAATCTTCTCAAAATTTAAAGCGTTCTTTAATCTTATTCTGTGCTCTTAATGTTTATAGTATTTTAGGTAGGTATAGGTACATTTTTATATCTTACAGAATAAATAAATGTTATTTTCAATATTTTCGCTTCCAAATCCATTTTAAAAATAAGGGCGAAGCAAATATATAAAGATACTTCTAACAACATAAATGAGGTTATGGTTATATTTTGTTTTACTAATTAGGCATTCCAACGACCTGTCAAACAATAGGTGCCAGTGGGAAATTCTTGTATATTTAAGGGGGTAGCGACATAGTCTTGCAACTTGGACGCTATTTTTATTCGAAGTAGTACTCGCCAAGCCTGCCAATTTATGAAGAAATGTATAGGTGGGCTAAAAATCCGACGACGTAGCGAAATTTCGCTACTCTTGGCAACGCTGAATAATATCCTAAGTATGGGCAACTTCTACAAATTTCCTCCAGAGGGCGTATCGCTTAGCTTGAATCGCGAACAGCATTTAATTTAGGTCTACAGATATAATTTACCTTTCAAAATTTATTAAATTTCCTACAATCATTTAAAAAATTGACATATAGCAAACGATTGCTGGATGCTGGTATTCTAGACGTCACCTGTATTACAGCGAAGTACGTCGCTTTCTTCGCTAAACACCCTGTATATATCTTACTCAATTTAAACGTAGATATGTAGAGATGATTCATCATCCAAGTGAAGGAGTTAAACGAACTTACATCCTCTATAAAATATCTACGTATTGAAAACAATTAACAGAGCATTCGTTATGCCGATCAGGTGTCGTTTTCCTTACATAACCATTGTTTGCGACTAATAGGAATGATAGGATAGGTATAGGTAGGTATCTACGTACACCTGTGACCCATTGAATTGGCGAATCAATTCATTATTGGCCAGTCCCTTCCGTTCGACATTGATTTTATTGACTATCAATAGAAAACAGATAATTAACTATTTCGTTTGGGATTATACAGGAGGTTTTGGATTTGACGGACAATACCACCGTCCTAAGCTCAAAGGGAGTAACTTAAATGTTTTCCATATTTTTAAAGGAGGAGGTTCTCAATTCGTTGGAATATTTTTTTAATGTATGTTCAGCGATACCTTCAAGGGTACGTTAGGGATAATTCCATATATAATTGGTCAGGATTTGATGATATATGAGAAAATCAAAAATCTCCATTTTTAAAGGCATCTGCACGATTTTGAAGTCGGTTTTTTAAAATTACTTAACAACCGTTCACTTTTATGACAAATTTAGCCTGATCTCATTTGGAAGGCATAGAGTACCTATCCTTTTATTTTAGTACGATTAATCATTATAAGCTACCACAATATACGAGCTGGATTAGGTGATATGTGACAAGTATTAGAAATTAAAAATTAAAAAAAACCGACTTCAAAAACGTGCAGATACCATCACCACATCTTAACCAAATTTATATGGAACCACCCCTGAGGTACCCCCTTACTAACAAAAAAAGAATCATATGAATCGGACAAGGTGGTAAAGCATTATCGCTAAACATACATAAAAAATGAAAAGTTTGAGGATTTTATCATGAACCCAATTATTGGATTTTGACCAAATTTATATGAGACTACCCCTGAAGTACCCCCTTTCTAACAAAAAAAAATCATTAAAATCGGACACCGTGTTAAAGAATTATCGTTGGACATACATACATACATACATACATACATACAAAAAAAAAAAATATCGTGACGAATTGAGAACCTCCTCCTTTTTTGAAGTCGGTTAAAAATATGTAACAACTGAGATTAGGGTCTATTCTGTAACAATTCCTTTATATTTAACGGCCTTTAAAAATATTGGCGGCCTATAAAAATTAAATTAATTTACTTCTGTCATTATTTAAACAGATTTCTTTGAGATAGTCCTCTAATGTATTTTAAAGATCCGTTTAAATAATTACAGAAGTAAAGAAAAAAATATTTTTAAATGCCGTTAAATATAAAGGAATTTTTACAGAATAGACCCCATTGAGATTGATAAATATTGACATTTATATTTCATGAAACTAGAAAATCAATCTGCTTCCATGTCATCTTAAAAACATAGTTGTAATTTTCTACTCCTCTAAAGTGGAGACAGTAGATTGCCCTCATAGTACTTAGGCCTCGCTAATCTCATTGCTCATCCTCCTGAATATTTTCTACTCATATTAAACTAAATCATCAGTATAAATAGACAACACAAAATATTTACAATAAAGTCTTTCGGCAATAATAATGGTTAACTTTTTTGTTAATAACAATATATAAAATAAGTGTATTAAAAACTTACGGTCATGTTCAGGTTTCGTGTTTGAGACGAACTACAGAACAAATTGAATGAAAACACATTAAAGCTTTTGCTAGGAAATTAATTGATAAAGAAAGCGATTCAGACTAAAATAACTGAAGCAAATTTATAAGTGATGAGTGGATTCTGAAATTGAGTCTGCAGAAATAAGTTCTTTCTAAAAATAAATTTTTTATCAATTATTTTTCGTTTAAACTCAATAAACTCATCTGATTTTTAGGTTGTAAAGGGGATATAAACAGGATGTATCCGAATTAAGGTACTTAAACCTATTTCCCAAAAATGTACTGTTTTTAATAAATGTACAAAAGTTTATCGTAAATCATAAGTGAGAGGTTATACAGATTATACGTAAAATTAAATGAATTATATTATTTTATTAATTTATTTATACACCAACCAGGCGTGTAGCGCCATTATTTATTTTGTTTGAAATACGAAATCTAATCCAGTATTTTTGTCCCCAAAATAGTGTTGCGTATTAGCTTGAAATTTGGCAAACATGAATTTGATTTAGCGCTTTTGACAGCAGTCATTTTATGTAACTTTAGCCAGTAGGTTGTTGTGTACTTTACAGAAATTAAAGTGTGTTAATCTCGATGATTATTTTTTAATTCTAGTTAAAATAAAGGTACCAGACCTTATTTCCTTGTGAAAAAGACAATTTCTGTCTTCTTAGGATTAATAGAGAGTGAATAGTCATTCTATATCTGTAACGTGTGGAGGGTGCGTTACCCTCCACGACAATTAGGCCTCATTAGACCCATTGTACATCCTCCTAAGATGATAGGCACTTCCTAGCTTGTGAACCAGCCAACAGATTTAATGTAGTTAACAATGTCGCCAAGAGGTGCTTCTATTATATCGGCCGGTGTTAGCCGATACTCGCCGAACACAAATCTTCTAATAAATGAGAGCGTCGAGCAATCGTAAAGGATATGCTGGATGGTCTCATCTTCTTGTTCGCGCCTTCTGCAGAGTGCGGATTCTGACAGCCCCATGATATGGAGATGCTTCTGTACTTGGCAATGACCAGTCAGAATGCCTGTGACTAGGCGCAGATTCTGTCTAGTCATAGTCAAGTGACTGTCATTATTGAGGGTTCTGATGAGGGTGTCGAGGACCCTATTCCACAGTAGAGGTAATAGCAATACTTCCCTGTGGACATCCCCTCACAACCAAGCCTCTTATATTAACATCTTCTACACTTATGTTTACTGCTCGCTTTGAGAGCATGTTATGTATCCACCCACTAACCATTTGTGGAACATTCCTGTTGGTTAGTGGTGGTCTTTGGGAAGGTGGTTTTATCAAAAGCACCTTCTATGTCTATGAAAACACCCGAGGCGAACTCCTTATTGTCCAGGGATCTTTCTATCCGGCCAGCAACTAGATAAAGGGCTGAATTAGTAGATCTGCCTGGGGTGTATGCATGTTGGTTTGGGTGTAGAGGTGTTGTTCTAATCACCGTATCCCTTATGTCAAACTAATTGGTCGGCATGTTTTTGGGACAGTGTAATCCATCCTTCCAGGTTTGGGTATAAGTACCACTTTTACCTCTCTTCATTTATTGGGGATATACCTCACAGCCAACGAGGATCTGAATATACCCACCAGATGCGTTGTGAGTTCTTCCAGACCCCACTGAAGTAGGGCTGGATAGATACCGTCCAGGTCCTGACGATTTAAATGGAGGGAAGCTGGATATTGCCCATCTAATTTTTTCATCGTCTACAATGTGTTTGGCAGTTTGCCAATCATAGACAGATGGATTGTATTATTCTTTATTTGCCCAGTCATCCACGTCTGTGATGACCGAGTCAGGGAAGTGTGTTGACAGCAGAAGTTTGATGCTATCTTCGAGGTTGGCAGTTTTCGTGCCATCTTCTTTGATTAGCGCACCAATGCTTCGGTGTGGATCTTTTGAGAGAGCTTTTTGAAGCCTCGCTGCCTGCGGGAAATCTTAGATTTCTTCGCAGTAGGATATCCATGCATCTCTCTGTTTTTGTCTGACGATTTTTTGGTATTCTCAGAGGAAAGATTTGTAAGTATCCCAGTCCTCTTTGAGTTTTGTGGTTCTTGTCTTATTAAAGGATATACTAGCCATCTTCCTGAGGTGACCAAAATCGTGACACCATCATGCGATAGTCGTCTGATCGTGTTGGACCACCCTCAGGGGGACAGGATTTCTTGTAGGCATTGTTTATTGTGCTTTGGATAGTGTTTGAGTACTTCTCCAAAGCATTGTTATTGTTTGGTGTTTCGGCCTCCATTTCTCTCAGAGCCTCTTGGAGAAAGTGGGCATATATTGCCCTCTCCGTCTTCCCAGGGTTCCGAAATAGCGTGGAGGTCGGTAACATCAAGTTTATTTTGAATGTTAACCAGCTGTTATTAAACACTTGCCAGTTTAGAATTGATTTATAGATACCAGTTGTGGATAGAGGTACCAGATCTTACAAATAGATGTTTATTTTACCGTCTGGTCGTCTTTTGAATACAGAATAAAGTATTGAGGATCATCATCGATGCACACTGGTAAATACCTATCAATACAAAACAATGACCTCCCTCATGCTGACTGCCATGATAAATGGATTGTGTATTGGTTATACTGATTTGATAGTGTTTGTGTTCTGTAATAGGTGAACACTGACAATATGCACTTTGTTATTAGTTGCGAGTGACTGAGACGAACAATTTTTAGGCTTAGTTGGCTTAGTTTATATAGCACAGGACGTCCTAAGGACGTCCGGTACATGTCCATTTATCGTCGTGATTTATCGTCTGTACGTCCAGCAATAATTTTAAGTATGTCCAGTTTAGGAAATCCTCGGGACGTTAAGAAATAGATATCCGTAGAACGTCAATTCTATGTGCTTTATTATATTTCCATGGATTCACATTCGCATGGTATTATTATTTGGTTATATTATAGAAACAATTATTAAAGTTGGCATTGACCAAATATCCAATTTAATGAAGGCCAAATAGACAAAAAACGAAGAAGGTCATTGCAAGAAAGGGACATTTTTTTCTTCTTCTTCTTGTTTCTCTCGCCCTCTCGAATGATTGCAACACTACAACAGTTCTCAGTTTTCACGGCAGGAAAGTAAGCTTCTTTAGCAATTTGGAATGAAATTTTTAACATTTCTTGCATCAATTTCTTCTAATTCTAGTATATGGTGCGGATAGAAGGTGTATTGGTTAAATAGTATGAAGGGCGAGTCTATGTATATGATTTGGAACTAGGAATGTATATTACTCGCTAAATTATTACCATATTTGCCAGAAAATGTACGCGATAGCAATAATGGAGTAGTGGCCTAAATGTCAATAGTTAAATACATTGACAGATTTGTTATTTTTCCGTAAATCTATTGTGTCAAACTGACTTTCTATTTGAGACAAAATTTAAGTCTCCTTTAAAACCATTTCTTTGTAAGATTTGGAAATGAAAATGCAAATTTAAAATCTGTGATGTCAAAGTGACTATGTTATATTATTAGGAATTAAATTCAAGTCTTTTTTACATCTATTTGGATAAAATATATCTAAATCAAAATGCCGTACAAAATCATCCCACCCCCACCACCGCCTGTTATTAAGGAACATGGACCTCCCAAGCCTCCCAGAGTTGCATTGGACATCAAAGCTATAAGTAAATAAACTAACAATGTGTATTATATAAATAGTTTGTACAAGTAATTTAAATCCCTACTTTGGCAACCACTTCGGAACTCAGACTGAACACATCGTCTATCAAACATTTGCTGTTCCTGTCCCCCCATTGAACATCGCAAGCTCTCTCACAATACCGTTCATCCCCAAAGACATCCAATATGCCTGTCAATCTTGTCAAAACACGGCCCCAGAACGTTAAAAATCATTCCTGAAACTATGTTTCTAATTCTCATCCATTTCCTGAACGTCTGCCTTTCCCTATTCCACTTTTCACTTGCCTGGAAGTCCGTAAACACAATTCAAATTCCCAAACCAGGCAAGGATCCCAAATCTATTGATTCATATCGTCCTATTTTTTCTCCTATCTGTTCTAGGTTAACTCCTTGATCAAGGAGAGAACCTGAGAATTTTGTAAAGAAAGAAACATTATACCTCAATCCCAACATGGTTTTTAGACCCCATTACTCCACTCAGGACGACTTCACTTCAATCCACTCCACTGTTCTCACAGCAGTGAACTCAAACCAAATTTTCGTTCTTCTTCATCATCGCCAAACTCATTCACTCTTATCTAACAGACAGAACTGTCAAAGTCAAAGTAGGCAACGCCCTGTCTGACCCATTTACCTCTTAAGCAGGAGTACCTCAGGCCTCAGTCCTAGCCCCTCTTCTGTACCTCATTATATACACACAATCTCCCTCCCTCAAATTACATTGCCTTCTATACGCAAAATTCTGACCCAAAATCTGCTGAACCAGTATACCCGTTGGTACGGTAGATGAAGGATCTCACTCAACCCCAAAAAAAACTCAGTTTATCAAGCATTCAAACTCTCGAAAACTCCTAGAAGTAAACATTGATCTACTAACATCCTATCTTTAGATATAATCCACACACCTAAAAAACCTAACAATTAGAATCGCGATTTAGGTTTTCGAGGTTTGCCTAAATCATATTTCCAACTTTATCTTGGAGTTGCTCCAAAATAAAGCTGGAATTAGCGATTCTAATTGGGAACACAACCTGGCACACAGGTCTCAAGCGCCAATACACTAGTATAGGTTACTAATTTGTAATACCATCTTAAAAAGGAGGATAACTCTTATTACAGGGTATCAGAAAAATGTAAAAAAATATAATTTAAGTACATGAGTTCCTTAGATTTTCCATTATCTTATATCCTTGGCTATTTTTATATATTTTTTCTTCCCATCAGATCTTCTAATACTAATCTAATCTTCCTAACCTTTCTACTAGAATTCATCACTTCTGGGCCATATCAACTAATTAATTCTCCATACTTTCTAGATGTTTCAACCAGCTAACGCTGATCATAATCAGAAGCATTGTCAGTCGAATATAGTACCACCTTGTATACAGTGATTTTACTGGGTTGGAACATCTAGGAAAAATGGAGAACTAATTAATTGATTCGGTGACATTAGTTTAGTATTAGAAGATCTGTATATAAAACATGTAAAAAAATTAATAAAAATAGTAAAGGATAAAAGATAATAAAATACTAATTGCGATCATAATTTTAGTGAAAATTGAGAGACGTCAAGAATACGTCAAGCAAGCTGCGGAAGCAAAGGCTGCAGGCGTTGTCCTAGAGCCGTTCATAGAGTTCGTAGAGGAGGAAGAAGATCATTCAGAATGTGAGGAGGCCGATTTTCTGATCAGACGTACTGCTTCGTTCAAATGTCTGGCTCAAGTTGCTATGTCAAGCAGCTCGTTTTTCAGAAGTGTCGAGTACAATTTTCCACCTGTAGAGGACCCCGGATTGGAGGAAGCTTTAGATCACGAAGGTATGTATGAATACAGTTACTTATAGTTTAAGTATATCTATAAATGACGCCAATATCTGTGATGGGATTTAGTGTGGGCATAGTTTCCATTGTTTGCAATGAGGAAAACTTGGGAAGGAGTGGATAGTGGTATTAATTCTCTAGTATTTCCGAAATATAATATTTATCTTGAGTCATATAAATGAAGTATTGTAAATTTAATTGTGTTTGTTTTAATTGTAGACCCTCCTGTCAGAGGGGACGATGAAGGGGTGAACGTGTATTTGGACCAATGTAAAACGTATAAAATTATACCACTGAAGAGAGTACTACGTTCCTTTACGACGCCTTATATGAACCTGAAGGTGAGCGTCGTTTTTACCATTGTAGGTATGGTTTAAAAACTATTAATAATGTATAGTGTTTCCAGACTCAATCCAATATAGGTGTTGTACCGGGATTGCGTAATAATTCGCGTTACATGCCATGCGAATGCTACAAATTCTATACCCACATTGCAAATAAGCGTGAACCGTCTTGGTATAGCCTCTGATGTGGCACACTTAAGTTTTAAACATCTACGCACCTACAGTTGATGTTAAGTCCACAAGTGAGTGGTTAGAATTGCAGGCTCGCCTGGCTGCTTTAGCTGTTTTATCTTTGATTAGTAGCGTGCACGGTTTGAAAAATTTTCCCAAAGCGTTTGTTATAAACTTGTTTTTATTTTTCGGTGTTTCTGTTAAATTTTGATTTGTTATACGAGATGCTTTATGGAGACCTTCTGAGGTAGATGTAGATGCTAGAATCATAATTTTACATGCCGGAAATGAAAATGAAAATATGTCAATAAAGCTCTGCTGGTTTATCATGAAGATATGAATGCAGCAGTTTTTAAGAACTGGTTTGCTGAACAACTTTTACCGAATATTCCAACTAATTCAGTCATTGTAATGGACAATACGCCATATCATTCCCGGCAAATTCACAAGAAGCCAAGTAGTGACTCTAAGATATCAGATATATCAAAGTATTCAAAAGATAATAAAATTGATAGTCCTGCTTCCGTAAAAACAAAACCACAATTGTTACAAATTGTTAAAGTAAGAATATTCCAATACAGTATTATATTGATAATTTTGCAAAAGATGATGGTCATACTGTATTGAGGTTACCACCTTAATATTGTGTACTTAATCCAAAGCTCCTCTATTTACATTTAAAACCCGGTCATACATTGCAAAGAAACGTAGCGCGTAGCTATTTCGTAAATGAACCGACATGCGTTTCCTGGTGCGCTGTTGTCAAGCTGTGTAGTTTACCCCTTTCATATTTAAAAATAGTTTTTACCTATAACTCGCTAATAGCAACAAGTTTTATTAATTAGAATAGTTTCGAGATATATTGCGACACATCAAGCGTCCCCACCAATTCATTTTCGTACCTAGTGCAGTGTTTCCAACTCCGACCCATTGTGGGCCGATATGTTGCAATATTTCCTGAAACATTTCTAATAGTAAATCTCTAAATAAAATGACTTGTAACAAAACAAAAGAACGTATAAAATGTGTACAAAGTAGAATAATCTAGTTTAACTGCTTTCAGCAGACTTGATCTTTTAGCAGCACCTATTTTTACACCATTAGGCAGGGCATTTTTGTACCTATCGTTTTCACATAACAACTTTGCAAATACTAAGATAAACTATGGCAATCACCATTATTATTCCTGCATATAAATGCAAGGATTTTAAAAGCGTTAAACGTGACACCATCGCAATTTAAAATAACTTTTTTTTCATTCATACTATACGTCACGGACGTCACGTATAGTATTTTATCAATCGATAGTTTACGACGTTGCGATATTATTGTTTGGTTTATAAATATTTAGTATCAAACTCGATGTCTAAAAAAAGCATTGCTCATATTCTTTCCTTATTGGTAATATTAGAGTAATGGGACTAGTTTTGTTTTAGTTTTATGGTATCAGAAAATACCAATTGAAATGTCTAGCCGAAGCGTTGAGGACCAACAGATACGTGGAATATTTAATATTGCAAAATAACCATTTGACACCGCAGATGGTGGATTGGTTGTGTCAATGTCTCGAAGATAATACCGTTCTAAGTAATCTCATTTTGAAATGTTGCAACATTGGACCGCTAGGTAAAATTTTCTATCCATCTTTTCGAATATGGTCTACAGTGTACGTAGTAACAATGAAAAAACACAAAATCACTTGTTGATTGATTTTCTCCTTTCTATTAAAAATGAAACTTCTGGCTCAATATTTTTGATGAGTTTGCCTATTACATATTAGGTTTTTGTTTACATCACAGAAAAAAAAATTGTAAAACTGCTGAAAACCGATGACATAACTCATACAAGTTTTTGAAACACCTATTCCAATTTGCAACCTTTTATTTTGCATAGAAATATTTTTTTTTTGTAAAAATATAAAAAAAATGCAAACATTTTAAAAATTGGTTTCAAATGTTAATATTATTTTTCTTAACAATCTGGTACCTTGAAAAATTAACAAAAATCAAGAATTCGCACCATGGCGATTTAATATAATTTTATCTTTAAAAATTTTCATATATAGAAACTAAAAAAAAAATGTACAATATAAAGATGCATGCGGGGTATTAGAAATGCGGATATATAAAAGTTATAACTGAAGGTGGGGCATAAATACAAAACTTCCGAGAATTAAATAATTATCAATATTTTAACTATTGCATGTATGACCTTGAAAATGGGATTTCTAACAACTAACAAAAATGTAAAATCTATAATACATTTTAAATAGGTCCTGCACGCTCAGAGAAATGTCCCTAAGGTTTAGCGCTCTATCTTGTCCCAATGATGCAAAATTTCATCTGGACAACGTGTAGTTACACCAGGCGTCGACGAAACGGCATTCATAGGGCGGTGTTGAAATGCATTCAATCAACATCAACATCGACATTACGTCAACGTCGATTTATTAGTTTGTATCAAGATTAATTAAGAAGTACATACGAAAGGTGGTAGAAAAACGTAGTAAATTTGGGCGATGAGGAATAAAAAAAATATTTTTGTGCAAAATAAAAGGTTGCAAATTGGATTAGCTGTTCCAAAAACTTGTATGAGTTAAGCCATTGGTTTGCAGCACTTTTGCAACTTTTTGTTTATGATATGAACAATTATGTTTCGGACTTTTAAAAAAGTAGCAAATCTGATATAATGTTGAAAATGATACAATATATATTGCTTCAAGTTTGCAGCACTTTTCCAATTTTTTTCTCAACATTATAAAGAAAAGCGCCATTTTGCTATAAATTAACTAGTTCCGCACCTTTGAAATTGAAATTTAAACTTAGTGGTATTTAAACTAGTCGATTTTTATTACAAAGTCTGAAAACTTTTGTAATTCATGTGAAATGTTCAAAATAGGATATCTTCATTGACTGGCCTAATATCAATTTCTTTAGTTTGTGTATTATTTGTAACTTTTCGTTTGCTGTTTCCGAGAACATATATCCTGTCACTCTTTTCAGTTAGGTACTTGGTCTAATTTTCTCTATTGATATAAGGAGATATCTTAAACGTATTTCAACTCCTATGATCTAATAATTTTCTCTTTGTTCTTGCCCTTCATACTTTCTTTCCCTTTTATTTCCCTCGACATCTTACTATAAGCGTTTATTAGCGTCTTTCATTGGCACTGACAGTTTATTTGTTTCCTTGTTTATCGATATGGAAAAGAAGAAAGTGAAAATACACTCAGAACGCACTGAACATTCCAGTGAAAAACACCCGTTTTGATTTTGTTTCTTCTTTGTTAAAATTTTCTCCTTTGACCGCCTTCAATTTGCAATCGAATAGATTTATGTACAATATTATTTTCCAGGCGCCGCCAAATTAGGTAACCACCTGGTGGCCATGTCAATAACGCACCTCGATTTGAGTTACAACAATTTAGGCGAAGAGGGTATGAAGAAATTGAAGACTATGGCAAAAATGCATTCCTTGAATTCGTTAAATCTGTCCCACAACAATCTCACTCCGGGTAGCGCCATGTCATTGGAGCGTGTTCTATTGAGTTGCAGAACATTGGAGGTGTTGGATTTGTCTTTTAACAGATTGGGAACTAATGATGGTGAGTCGGAAAATTAAGAAGTTTAATTTATTTATTTATTTACAACCATATATGTAAATGTCATTACTAATCATTGAAGGTTGGGAAGTGTCACATCACACACCTCTACTTTCAGCCCTCATTTCATCTATTTTAGATGAACATTTTTTATATTTAAAAAAATAACACATTTTTTTGACAAATTTTATAATACCTATTTAATGACAAACAATAAAAAACAACAATTAACTAAAATACAACAAACTACTTATTGATATTTATTATTCGCGAATTTAATATCCGGCTTTATCTGACATTTATTTATATTGGTGACAGTTGTTTACCCCGTAATCACAGTAACAATATATTTACTTGATTATTCTGGGAAAACCGCGCGCTTGGTAATTTGTCGTTAAATGTAATATTTTAGGTATGTTCAGAACGAAACAGAGATTTATTAACTTTGATCGAAATATGATGGTTGTAAATAAAATAGTATACAAACCTCGGTAGGAAGTTTCTTTCCTGTCTCGAGATCATAGCTAACCTCGACGCTTTGCGTCTCGGTGATCTAACTAATCTTACGACAGGAATGAAACTCTTCCCACCTCGGTGTGTAATATACTATTAACACCGACATGGATCTGCAAAACCTCGCAGTTTTTGTGTCTCCAGTTTCAGATCTTATATTTTGACAGGTTACGACATACTTTTTAACGCAGTGGCATCATCCGATCATCTGCGAGTGTTCAACCTGTCCAGCAACGGATGTTGCGACCAAGTGGAAATTTTTGCAGTGTTCACCGCTTACCTTCAATCCACCACAACTTTGGAGGAATTAGATATAACCGACAACAGGTTAAACATTGTGTAATTGTTAGATAAATATCTTTACAAATGGATGTCGGTGCTTTCTGCAGGATACCGGCTGGAAAGTTTATAAGGGAGTTGCGTAAAGGAGTGGTGATAAATAAATCATTGAAAATATTGAAGATCGGTAACAATCCTTGGACTCCGGCGGAAGCGTTTCCTTTGGCTCAACTAATTAAAGTCAGTAAGACGCTAGAGATTCTGGATATGGATAATATTTGGTTTACCAAGAAAGTTAAGAAGGTACGTTATCGCATTTCTTAAACGGCATTTACATTTTTAAGAGCCACGGCAAATAATAATAGCCGTCCCTTCTCTTACACAAGTCGTTCAGTCGACTTCCGGGGGTGAAATTCGCTCGTAAGGGGGTGAATTAAGGAGAGTATTATTATTATTATTATTATTTATGAATTGAGTTAAATTTTTTACATTTCAAGAGAGTAAACCCAGACAACACACCAAATCCCAAAGATATCCACAGAATATCTTTTGTGGATATCCAATATATCCACAGGATATCAGAAATATTCCGTGGATCTAATATGGATATCCAAATGTCCGTCTATATCCAGAATATAGAAGATATCCTATGGATATTCAGCAAAATATCTAATTAGTATCTTCCAGACAATACAAGAAATCCCAGAGATATCCACAGAATATATTTTGTGGATATCCAATATCCAAATATGGATATCCAACCAAATGTCCGTCTATATCCCAAAAGATATAGAATTCAGATATTCAGCAAAATATTTTATAGGTATCTTTAGTAGACATTCATAAGTAACCAAATGAATTATAACGTCGAAAGAAAATAGAGATAAAAAATATTTCCAACAATCTGTCTTTGAGTTTGCCCACTAAGGAAAAAGTCATCCTTATTAGGACTCTTCAGCAATAAATGGAAATTCTCGACTCCAGTCTCTAATAGAGTCTTAATGCGAAAAAATGTTCGATCAACTCAATTATGGCGGGTTGAGCATGAGTAGATACGAAAGTGGTATCGCCATCTATACTTAGGAAGCAAAATCAAAAATTACATCTAGTAGTTATCCACGATGGTTTGCGTCCGCGCTAAGACTTTGATATATGTGGATGTCCATGGGATATTGAATACACCTTAAAAAAATTAATTTTAAATATCTGAACGGTACTATTAGCCACAATGGCGAGCACAATGGCGTAATTTTTTAATAATTTGCTATATAATTACTATTATTTATGGACATTTGCATGTCTATAAATTACATTTTATGGATATAAAATAGATATCCACCATGGACTGGACATTCAGTGGATATTGGGATGTTCAGTAGATATCCAAAGGATTTGGTGTGCTGTCTGGGAATTAGAATCTTTTTTATTTAAAATTGTAATCAGCAAACATTGCACGTCAATATTTTTTCCAATTAAAAAATTAAAAAGGTCCTTCACGCGTGTGAACTTTCAAACATTTTCTAAACTTTATACAACTTACGTTAGACCGTTGATAGAATATGTCGGACCTGCGTGGTGTCCTGATCTGGTTTCTGATCAAAAAAGATTGGAAAATGTTCAACGCTACGCTACTCGAATACCTTTCGGCAGAATGAGACCATCGTATGAAGAACGGCTTAACATGGCGAATTTGTGTTCATTTTCCCACAGAAGATTAAGAGGTGATTTAATTGTGACCTACAGAATTCTTCATGGTACTTTTTCATCCAACCTCTATAGTATACTCCCACGGAATACAGATGAGCGCCTACGTGGACATGAGTATAAGTTGAGCAAAGAAAATTTTAAAACACGTACCCGACAAAACTTTTTTTGTAATAGAGTTTTCTATACTTGGAATAATTTACGCTCGAGTGTTGTTCACGCACAGTCAGTAAATGTATTCAAAAACCGACTCGATGACTTTTTTAAAGAAAACTAAAAGTTTATTTTTAGTGCTTTGTTTGCAATATGTTATTTGCTAATTACTTATTTAATAATTGTCTTTGTTATTAAACTTGTAATTTTGGGCTTAATAGGATTCATTCCTCAGCCCTAATTTATTTGTAATAATAATAATAATTAGACGATCTAACTAGGACGTCATTTCCTCGTTTATTAATGATCATGCATAATACGAGAAATTTATAAATTTGCACATATTAAACTAACTAAAAGTGAATTTATCTTTCTACCATGCATCCTGTGTTATTGCTACATGTTTCTTACCGATTTCAAAAAAAAGGAGGATGTTTAATTGGTCAAATTTTTTTATGTATGTTCAGCGATAATTGTTTACCACGTTGTCCGATTTATAAGATTCTTTTTTTTTGGATTGAAAATTATACTGAGAAAAAAAATTTATAATCATTCATAATTTTTGAATTTTCAACTTTAACACCCTGTGTTTCGGAAACGAGTAATATTTTATTTAAGCCCATTTTTTTTTTAATCAGAGACGGTGACGGAAAATTCCTCGAAAACAATTGCTCGAAAGAAAATTGCTCGAAATCAATTGCTCCAAAAATTGTTCCTCGAATGGACAATTCCTCGAATGCCTCGAAATAAGAAAATAAGTTATTACAAATACAAAATAATTAAATGCACTATAAAATGTATCTATACCTAGAATAAATTTATTTAACTTTATTTACAAATATACCGGGTGGCCCATTAGTGTGTGGAAGTGCAAACATGAATATTTTTAAATCATAAACTAAAAATGCAATTTTCTTAAAAACTGTAAATTTTAGAGAGTACCTTGTACAGACATAATTTGAAGGGATACAATAGTTATATAAGATGGAAAAATAATATACTAGGCGTATAAGCAGAATTTTACGCTGAATTCGATGGTAAAAAAATATACAGGGTGTCCTATTTAAAAAAAGCTTACTTCATGTTCTCTCGCTTAGGCTGAACACACTGTATATCTCAAATCTCAAATAATTTTAGAAATGTGTATCTGCGCAAATATAACAACTTTTATTTAAATATTTTTGTATATTTTATCCAAAGTAAGCTATTGCACTTCCACACACAAATGGGCCACCCTGTATGTACACTTAATAACCAATGTTTTGCACTATGCGCCCTATTCTTGCAGCACAATCGCGATATTTACGACTACCCATTGAAGGTTCAATGCCAGATACAAATTGTTCTATTTTCAACTCGTTAAGGCTTTGTTGTCTTTTGATAGCATCTATAAATTTCCAAATGCTAGGGCGATTCGCCGAAAGAAACTCTTGCAAACCTCTGTGCCAACCTTCGACGCTGTTGTTAGTTTTTGGTTCACCTTCAAGAGTACCTTCGTAACAATTCCATATATTTAAAGGAAAACGAGGTGGACGTCGATATCTTCGATTTGGGCGACTGATCCACGTGTCTTCAAAATAATCTATTACGGGTTGTGCTTCTTCAGGAAACACATTTTCATCGCACAAAACTTCAAAATACTGAATTACATGTTCTTCAGGTACAAAGCCTAATGCAGGGAGCATTTTCAGAGCAAAGTCGGCATCTATTTCATATCTGTTTTTCAAACCATTCTTTTGAATATGGCGGAAAATTGCCTGACATAAATGGAAAGAACATCCCCTGTGTCTGGTTTCGGGATATACATCATGCTCGACATTAATTACAGCACTTTCAAAATCGGTCATTATTGTTTCTGGATTTGCATTAGGTATAAATTCTTTAATTTTGCGAAATAATTCTGAATAAGTTTCCTCAGTTTTATTTGGTAGAAGCGCGTAAATTAGCGGCACAGCAGTATTACCTTGTAAACAATTTACGGTATACAAAAAGAAGTGGAGTAGTTTTGAAGGTTCCATCGGTATACCAATGTGCGGATGATTCCAACAGACGTAAATTCCTGCTAGTAGAAAAAATAATGATCCGATTTTCCACTTGCCCTTTATCATATAATAAGAAATCATCTCCATTTGCAGTGATAGTAAACTCAGGTGGAAATTAAATGTCTTGCCGGCGGTTTGGAACTGCGGGACTCAAATTTTGACTTGCTCGAATATTTCTGATAGTTCTTTTGATGGAACTTATACATTGCGTTCGGTCTGCCAAGTTCCTTTAACTCCTTTAACACTTTTTACTCCAAACGACCCGTTTAGCGTTCGGTTTAGTCCGATTAGTGACATTTTAACACGCTTAACTATCATTTAAAAGCACCCTAAAAAACTCCGCTTTTGTCCCGCTCCAGCCCCTGACTATCAGAACTCGCCTATTGCAGGCAATCTTGCAGCTGCTGCTTGACAAACATTTTCTGATGCAGTAGATATAATAAACTGTGGCGTGTCTCTAGCAGATTTTGCATTTTCTTTGATGGTATTCTATACTCTAGCAGCACCTACACTTGCAGCGTCAGCTATGTGATTGTGCACACTATTTATTTTTGTTGCATAATCGCCGATTGTTATCACCCGAGCGGAGCACTTAAATTTTTTAGAAACTTCACATTACCAATAAATTTTATTTTTAACAACTTTGTCTTTAATAAACAAGTAACCCTCGATTAATAATTTGTTTTTGCCTTTTTCACTTTTAATAAATTCTATTTATTGCTTGATAATTACGGAACGTCGCTGGCAAAACTGACCGCAGCGACCAAGTGAACAATACCCGAAAACTAATGAGAAGATTATTTGAAGATAATATATATTTAACTGTACTCGTTAAAGGCACATTTAATTATTTTGTATTTGTGTATATTTATTTTAGTATCTTATTTTCTTATTTCGAGGAATTGTCTCTTCGAGATATTGTTATTCGAGTAACTAGGCATTCGAGGAATTGTCCATTCGAGGAACAACTTTTCGAGCAATTGATTTCGAGCAATTTTCTTTCTAGCAATTGTTTTCCATCAATTTACACTAAACCATTCTATGTATCATGCTTAATGAGACTCGCTGTATGTACATAAATATGAAATCTTTCGTAACAAGTGAATTAAATCAATGTACCGTTCACCAGTACTTGATTTTCCAGGATAAGTAGTTCATCCCCATTTGCATAGTTACAGTCTACACAAGTACCGGCTTTAGCCGATTTATAAACAGGGGACCAAACACTCAAAAGTTTATATTGTTACGAATAAATATAACACCCTGTGAATAGGTATGTTATGATTTGTAAAGTTTCGTCCAAGGGCATACGCGCTAAATAGAATTTCAATAAAATAATAAAACGTGTAGTTGGACAAGGTTTTATTAAATCATAATATTAAAGTACATGGTCAAGAAAGATCAACAAGAGCATTCTTGGACAATTACAAGTTAATTTTCGGGGAGTTTCTTTTGGTTTTTGTTGACGAGCGATCGTAATCATTCGTACTAAATGAATTCCTTTTTTTTGGTGTCGGAAAGTAGAATCACGGGTCGGTCACACGAAATCGCGGTTAGTGTTTTTGTTAAGCCACACAGTGGGAAAAGTAATGTGCGCCTCAGCCAGCCCTGCAGCCTAACGGATTAAAATATAATGTTCATGTAAGTAAATAGTTTTGAGTAGTAATATTTAGTTTTGTGTAGTCAGCAAAGACTACTGAATTGCTGAAGAAATACTAGTTGTTTCTATATTTGTTAAATAAATCATAGTTATTTGTTTTACGCTTGTTTCAATTTTTTTTTGTTTATGAAAACTCACGATCATTCAAAGGCGGGGGTATTGGCTTAGTCAGATCTCTGAGAGAGAGAGATACTGCCAAAGGAAATAGTCCCTGTAGGGCAAACCCTTTCCCCGCCCTCTGAATCATCGTCAGGAAGTTTGGGTTCCTTAGACCCATCCCGTCTGAACTTAATCCCCTAGCCGTGTGTTATCTAGAAGATAATTTAAATACAAATTGGGCCCCTCTATATAACCCGTTGTTACCGCTAAGAGTGGACTTTAGGGTCAGTCAAAAGGACCTATATTCTCACTCTTAACAATAAGGTCCTTCTCCCGTCGGATATTTTTTAATACTGTGCTTGTTATGAGGCCTGCAAGAATCTTACCTTTTACAGGCTTCATTATGCTAAAATTCTGAATGTTTTTACCAGCTGCTGGCTTTAGGTTAACGATAGATGATAGAAAGAAACAAGCACATCTGCATTTAACACCGTTTATTTTACATGAAGAACACCACACTACATTTATTAATTATTTACACTATGTACACATACCGTACTCAGAACATTTATAAATTGGTCGCCATTAGGGCGTGGGTTTTTACCCAATTGTCGATGTCTGTTATCATAGTTGAGACGAGTCTGAAGGACACCATGTCCCAGAGAGCACAAAGTCCTCTTAAAGACGTCTTAGAAGACGTCTGATGTTACAAAAGAGGATGTCTTTAAGACGTCTTATTAATGGCTTATTATTGGTCTGTAGAGCTTAAAATGAGCCATAAATAAGACGTCTTTAAGACTCATTAACTTGCTTCACGTATTTAGTTTACTGAATCATTAGACTAATTCTTGTTAATGTTATTCTAGTTTTCAGGGATTGGAAATCTATTTTTAGTATGTGTTATGCTTTTCATTTTTTACGAGGTTGTCAAACTAACCTTATTGATAGTATCGTATATTTAAAAAACACCCTGTTGTGATGGTTAAAAATTAAATTTTTTCAGACGCCCTAAAAAACCTTCCTTTTGATAATAAAAATAATTTCTTTTAACAAGAAAACGTGCCACAAACCGATTCAAGTTTATTTTTCATAAAATCGTAGTTTTTTCAAAATATCTTTTAAAGTAGAGTTTATTTTTGAGAATATCTCCATAAATATGAATTTTATGAAAAAATCGAAAGAGACCTTTTTTGTAGAGAAATTTATTTCCTACAAAATTGCTCTCAATGATGTTTTCTCAAATCCGTCTAATTTAAGAGATATTTAAAAAACTACGATTTTATGAATAAACTTTAATCGGCTTGCGACACGTGTTCTTGTTGTTAAAAAAAAAATCCCCGTATTTTTCCATCAAAACAAAAAGGTTTTTTAGGGCGTCAGAAAAAATTTAATATTTAACGACCACTCTACTGTATATCTACCTTAAAAGCCTTATTGAGGCACTTACTACAAATATTAGACCAATAAATAAAAAACGAATAATATTTAAGAACATTTTATTATGAATAAAAAAATAGAAGTACAAAAATTAATGCATCAAAATCTCCATCTGCACCAACCGACTATTCGTATCCCCGGGCATCCTATACGGCAACATACCGGTAAAATTAGTCAAACATTTGGCCTGCTCGCGCAAGTACTTCAACTGCGTACTGCTCGTCTCGTCCCTAAACCTCGGCACGTACTCGTTATTCGCCTTGATTTTCTGGTACTGCGCGAACAGCATATTCATCGCCGCTAAAAGTACGTCTGGTACAACTTTGCAAACATCCTGATGCAGATTCTTGAAATTCTTCACCCTATCGTCGACATCGTCTGGTCGTAATGGTACCAACTCGATATCATCCAGAGTACGTAAAGCTTGACTGTAATTCTTGATGTGGTACTGATCGAAGAACACCAACAAGTCTTTGAGTTTCAAGAATGAATTAACGATGTGGGAAGTTGTTTTATATCCTTCACGCAAGTATCTTTCAGCGTAATGATTTGCTTTATCTTGTATCTTGCTTCGGAGAGAATCGGCTTCGTTTTGTAAGTGTACCGTTCTGGAGAGTATGCTGCAAATCAATTTCAACACCTCTTCTTGATTGTTGGCGATATCAAACAGCTCTATGGCTTCTTCAAACAATCCTTTCTTCAACAAATTATCTCCTATCAACTGAGCCACGCTTTCAGCTGTAACATCGGTAAATTGATCGATCAATCCTTTAGTTCTGATTCCATTTCGTTGTACTGTCCCTAAAATCGATTCGTACTGCTTCGTTTCGACAGCTAAGTAAGACACGCAGATTTTAAACAAATTCTCTCCTTCATAATCGGTATAATTACGTAAGAAATAGAAGTACTGTAAAGCTTCGTTGGGGCAAGTTAATTCGAACTTTTTGACGTACAGCATCACGAATCTAGCTAGATTCAATCTACAAGAAGGCTTCTCGTCCATAGGATCGATGCTTAACAATGGAGAACTGACATCGTTTGGACCTCCCAGCATGTATAACTCGTTCAAAGCCACAGCCATGTGGAATCCGTGTACTTTGTATTTTTCCGTGCGCGATAGGAACTCGAAGGCGGCCTCGAATTGGCCTGTCAGAGCGAGCATTTGGAAGTAGAGGTGAGGTTGGTTTAAAGCGTTGTAATGCGTTTCTCCGTACTCTTCGAGTATTATGCGTTGTAAGTCCTTGTATTTGATGCAGTTATCTTTGACTACATCCACTCTGACTAGGCTAAGTTTCAGCCAGAGATAGTCGTCGGCCGTTCGGGCGACTTCGGAATGTTCGTCTGTTATGTCGCAACAGCCTAGAAGTTAAAACTTTGTTAATTATAGTTTGTCCCTACAGAAGACTTGGAAATAAATGATGAGACAACAAAGTACATGAATTGGTTAGATAAGCAGCACTACGAAAAGAACAAGTCTGTAGTGAATGCAGATATAGAAAAAAGGTACAGTTTTGGGAGTAACAATGACTAGAAATTCAGGATTTGAAGAAGATATACAAACGAGACTTGTCGTTGGGCCAACCTTGATTTCTTTTTGTTTTAAATCTTCGCTACCCACGTAAGGATTCCTTCCTGTTTACAAGGGATGGCGTGGACTGTATGATTGTAGAAAACTTGTAAAATTTAGTGATGAATTTTTGGAGTACTTGCCTTGGAATGTTGAAATTAAAGTAATTACTTCTGCTAACTGGTTTATTTAACTCTATAAACTTTGCATCTTTTACCACATAACTATTTGTATATTTTTACGTATTTTAAAACAAGATTTTCTAAAAAACATGCTGGTTCAAAACATCTCTTTATATTATTTCAAAGAAATAAAAACAGGCGTTGCTCAGTTTGAGGTTGAAAAAGAACTCGGCGTGAGTGAGAGAAAAAATCGTATGTTTGGCACTGTCTTGTAATTGGTTTTTGAGAAAGTTGCATGAAAAGTCACCAGATTGGTGTATACAGAGATAGAGTGAATGTTGTATATATTTATTTTTAACGATTTATTTTAAATGTGTCAATACGAGTGGAAGTGAAACAGAACTAGCGGAAGAGAGTCGGCATTTGTATTTATTTACTCAAAAATTCCCATGAGTAAGAAAATTATTTTGCGCTGGTAGCTATGCAGGTGTTTTTTTTAGAACTTTGAAATACGTTAAACTGCATTCCTGCATCTGCTAGAAACTTACAGATACGGGTGTATAAAACGATGGTCCGCCCAAGAGTAACCTTTGCCAACGAGACTTTGATATGAAGACAGAAAGATATGCAGATATTAAAAATATAAGAAACAGAAAGTGCTTTACAGATAAAAAATGGATGTGCTTTGGGAAAGACAAACAAATAACGAAATTAAAGAACATACTAGGGGTCGTCGAAGCGCAAAGAATACGATGAATGGGAAATTTTAGGATGTCAAGGAATAGAATTCAGAGAAAAACCCTGGAAGTAGACTAGAAGGAAAAAACAGAAAATGACGACCACAAAACAGAATGAAAAAAGAGATTGAAGAGGACATTAAAAGATTGGACATTACCAAATGGAATGGAAAAGCTGAAAGGAGAAAAAGTTATGGAAAGAAATAGAAGATATTTTTAGGAAACGCAAAAAACATTATATCAATCCTAATAGACCTTATGAAACGCTCTATATTTGACAATGAATATCTCTGTTTGTGTGTTAGCTTTTTAGGAAATCACTATTTCTGTCGGTAAATACAACAATTGACCAGTAATTATTACAGTTAATTTAATTTGGGCATTTTTGGACATGTGTTGTTTTTAAGTCTTCAATTGTAAACAAAGCCATGGGTCTCCCATGTTCTTAGTACATTAGTCCAGCAAAATAAAAATGAGAAACGTAATTATATTTGGACGTAAGATGGTTAAAGAACGCAATTGGTTTTACCGGGCCCTTTCGATGGCATAACTGGGATATTGCATGTATATTGCGATCCGCCCATCAGCGATGTATTATTTTTTTTCTGTAATCAATAGCATTGTGTTACTATACCATTTTTCTCGAGTCAGGATGGCAAAGTTAACGTATTGTATACCAATAATAGTACAATAAATAGATTTTTTTCTAAAGAAAAATCTTTGAGATTATAATTCATGAACTGTTAGGTTAAAGAAGCTTAAAAGTAATTGATTCGCTGACAATGGTGTTTTGAATTAGACATTTTAAGTAATAAGGCGCTAAATAGGTGTAAAATAAGAAAAATTCATTATAAAATAGATGAAAAAGCAAGGTAAACAACAAATAGTCCAAAAAACTTTTTTGTTTCCAAAAAACTCAAAAACTGGTTAAATTACGAAAAATAATCGTTTTGAATTGAACGTTTTAAATAATAAGGCGCTAATTAGGTGTAAAATAATAGAAATTCATTATAAAATAGAAAGAAAGCAAGAGAAACAACAAATAGTCCAAAAATCTTTTTATATTTCTAAAAAATTCCAAAACTTGTTAAATTACGGAGAAAAATCGTTTTAAATTAGACGTTTTAAGTAATGAGACGCTAAATTGGTGCAACATAATAGAAATTCATTATAAAATAGAAGAAAAAGCAAAATAAACAACAAACAATTCAAAAATCTTTTTTATTTCAAAAAAAACTCGAAAACTGATTAAATTATGGAAAATAATCGTTTTAAATTAGAAGTTTTAAGTAATAAAACACTAAAGAGGTGTGAAATGTAATGACAAAATCATTTCGGGTATTAAAATTTTGAAAACTCAAGCAATAAACGAATTTGAGAAAAATCTACATACTGCTTAATAACGCAGTATTTGGAAAGACTATGCAAAACATGAGAAAGCATAGGACGGTAAAAACTAGTAAGGAATTGGAATTTTTTTTTGTGTCATCGGCATCAACTGCTACGGTTATTGGAATTGTAGTAAGATTGCAAAAAAATTTAATTTCGAGTAAAAAATTTTATAATCGTACTATATTTGATGAATCTCTTATGGCTGTTGAACTTAAAAATCTAGAATAGAGTTTAATAAACCTTTATATAATAACGCAGTATTTGGAAAGACTATAGAGAACTTAAGGAAGCATAAGATAATAAAAACTAGTAAAAAACTGGAGTTGTGGGAAGGGTGCAAAAAATTTAATTTCTAGTCCCAAATTTCAAAGTCGTACTATATTTGATGAATTCCTTATGGCTGTGAAATTTAAAAAATTTAGAATCGAGTTTGAAAAACATTTATATAACGCAGGATTTCTAAAGACTATGGAGAACTGAAGGAAGCATAGGTTAGTAAAAACTAGTAATAAATTGAAATATTAGGAAAGGTGCAAAAAATTTAATTTCTAGTCCAAAATTTCATAGTAGTACTTATGGCTGTGGAACTTAAAAAATTTAGAATCGAGTATAATATATAGAAGGGGCAAGTTTGAAAATTTCAAAAATTATCGTATATGAATTTCATTATGATTTTCACTTAATGAATATAAGCTCTTGTATACAGACAGCGACAGCCTTAAATATGAAATACAATGTAATGATGCGTATGAAAACATAATTAGGAAAGATATCGTTAGATTTGATATTAGTGACTATCCTAAAAATAATTATTGGATTATATTGTTAGTAAATAAACGGGTTGCAGGACTAATACAATATGAAAACGATTCCAAAATAATAACACACTTTTATAGGATTACTTTTAAAGCAGTATACTTTTAAAGTAAATGGGGAAGTATTTAAAAAAAGTCAAAAGGGGTGAAAACAAATGTAGCCAAGAATAAAATCAGATTTGAAGAATTTATTTTCAATAAAATAGAAAAAATATAATAAAACCGATTAAAGGGCCTTAAATTAGGATAAAACGAATGTATAACGAAATTATCATAATATTTGTTGAATATGTTCAGTTTTAAATAAGAAAATATTCAAATGCTGAAAAGAGCACAACTTTATGAGTTTGAGTTTGTGTTAAAAACAAAATAACTAGAAACCAATCATGTATAATTTTTTTCAGGAAACGTCCCTTTTCTTTCCCATTTTTCATACACTATAAATAGAAACATTGTTGCTTACCTAGCACCGACCAAACGATACGTTTGAATGGATCCGTATCGTTCCTGATATTGCGTCTATAAGAAAAATTAATGGTATCCTCCAATTTGCTCAATTCACTCGCAGCCGCTCCATTTAATTTTGCTTCTAACAAGGAAACAACGTCCTGGAACTCGGGTAGACCGCTTCTCTTCAAACAAAAAATCGCAGCCGGTAAATCACCGGATCTTAAACAATAATAGACCATCGGCCACAACGGTCTGTCCTCTATAACTCCATCCTGTAATCCTAAATACTCTCCTTGTAGTCTGAGTCCTACGAAACTACGTACTAGATGGTACGTGCCTGGTATACCGCCTCTAACAGCGTGTGTGAGATCTTCATTGACGATGTTATTCATGTAGGTTTTGTATCTGTCTTGTAAATAGCTTTTGGCTTGCTTTACCAGAGCTTCTACTACAGGTTTGCTATGCCTGGTCTTAATTGGGTCGTCGGATTGTGGGAATGGCGGTAATTGCACCATGTATTTGATAATTTCCCACATATCGGAAATTTTAGCGTCTTTAAAGTCGGCTACGATGTTCGAAAATATGTTCACCAAGTTCGGTTTTTGAGTACCTATCAAAAAATAACACAAACTTTGAATGTGTACAGAAAATACAAATGAGAATTGTACATTTTTAAGATTATACACAGAGATATATTTCTATTTCCCACAACAAGTTCGCTTCGTGGGCAATGTATTATTTGTCTGCTTATTTATTTAATATTTAATATATAGAATTAATAAACTATATATTGTATTATATTTAAAGAAAATTAAATGAATATATCATTTGTATTGTATTATAGACAAATAAACATTATTAGTGTAAAGAAAAATATCTACAGTAATAAGTTGTATAGATAATAATTTTACAAATTTTTAAAATAATTATAACACTGAAGTAATTAGAAAAAAAAAGATTTTGTGCAAAATTGTTTAATTTAAAATACAAAACGCTTTCGGTATAACGCCATCTTCAATGCTTATTGTCTCAACAATGATTTCCAAAAAAGTTCAAGTCATCTTCATTCCTAACATTAAATGTTGGAGTGTCCCACCTTGCTAAATATTCGTAGTTATTATCTTTAAAATATTTTTTAAATTAGGAGTTTATACAGCCATTGTTTCTCCCATTTCTCCCATATTTAGGCTAAAGACTGAAGTAATTGACTTTCACACATCAGACCATAATGCACAAATAATAAAATTTAAAATTAAAGTTAGCAACTGAATTAGTAATGTGTACAGAAGATGTTTCAGTGATGAAAGTGTAAATAATTTTACGAGTCAACTTGATGTTCAAGACTGGAGTGAAATTTATAATTTTTAAGTTTCAGAAGTTCTTGTGCAGTGGAACCTGTTCATTAATTAGTTTGGTTCAATGAATTTTTTCCTGTAAAATCTGTTAAACTGCATAAGAAAAAATGCGATTATTTTAAAAATTACAATATTTTAGAAATAAAAAATAACTTAGATACATTACTAATACTATATGTATAGACAAAATCCGGTTTTACAAATTTAATTTAGAGTCCATGCATTTTTCTAAACTCTCCCCAACCAACGTTGTAGAGTTAAGAAGCAAAATCAAAAAATAAATACGCATAGAGTGAAGATGAAATTTCATCATGTGTAATTAAAAAAACTATAAATATCATTAGCCAGGTTTTAGCTTATCAATAACTCCATCAAGGGTGGAATATTTCTTACTTAATTAAAATTAGCTGTAGTTAAACCACTACATAAAAAAAAGTAATTCTCAGTTGTTAGAAAATTATCAACTGATAAGTATCTGGCTAGTTTCTCTAAGTTATTCGAAATAACTATGTGAATAATAGCATCTTAACTTTTTTCGAAAAATGTAAAATTTTTAATATTAACCAACACTGCAGAAAATCTACAAAAAAAGCAATATTTCAATTTACACAAAATGTAAATTTAATGTGTGTTTCTTAATATGCCAAAGGCAAATGACTGTCTTGACCACACATTAAATTAGATCAATATGGTTTCAGGGGAAACTATTTGAAATACATAGAATCTTATCTAGAAAATAGACAGCAAAGAGTTTGCATTATTCAAAACCAAATCAGATATAATCACAACAAAAGTAGGAATACCACAAGGAAGCACTGTTGGGCCATTGTTATTGTGGCAGTGTGTACCATCAAAGTTGTCTAGAAAGGGATTACTCTGTTGCAGTAAAACTTGAACGGCATTGTATCCTTTGCGCAGTGGATTGCCAAGAGAAAAATAAAAATAATGAAGACAAAGATAAATATCTTAGTGAAGAAATTGATAATCTAAAAAAATCAAATAGTGATAAAGATAATCATATAAAAAGACTAAAAAAGGGATCTGCATGTTATGAGAGTTTAGTGTTAGATAAATTTGAGGAAAAATTAAATTTTCAAGGACATACAATCGAATCTCTTAAAGAAGAAAATAATAATTTGAGTGAAAAAATGCTGAACTGCAAAATGACATTAAAATAAAATGTAATACAATTAGTAAGTTAAGAAGTGACTTTGAGGAACTTTTAAATATGAATAAAGATATGATAGAAACAATCAGAATGTTTGAAATGGAAAATGAGACACTCAAAAATGATTTATTTACAAATAAAACAAAAAATGAAAATACTGAAGATCAAATAACAAATTTAACTAAAGAAATTGCAGAATACAAAAATCAAATTGTGAAACTAGAAAAACAAAATAAAAATAATTAAGTCTTAACTAAAAAAATTTAGGGACTAGAGCAGCATAACAAAGGAAACCTTGGGAAGATTACTGGATAAAAACAAGACTTGTGAAGAAGAAGTTAACAAAATTATTCATAATATAAATAAGTCTACAAATGCAACACCAAAAATACTAATTTTGATTATCATTTTTAAAAAAATAATACCATAATATTGTTAATAAGGAAACGGTACTCATGAACAATAAAAAAATATTTGAGTCTGATAAATAAACAAAAAACAGCTTGGCAAATAATTAACACCAACTTGGGCAGAAATAAATCTTCTAAAACCAATGTGTCTGTCGATGATTTTGCAGATTTCTTTCAAAGTGTAATTCACAATTTAGTTGAAAATTGCAAGCAGTCTACTAATGTTAACAGCTTTATTAAAAAAATTCCTTTTAATCATTTATCAATATTTTTGAACCCCACAGATACAACAGAAGTCCATCAAATTATTAAAGATTTAAAGAATTCTAAAGCTAGGGATATTTATGGATTGAGTGCAGTTTTGTTGAAATCAGTTGTTGATATTTTAGACACTCCCATTGCTAACCTAATTAATTTGTGCATGAAATCTGGAGTTTTTCCAGATACATATAAAGTATCACGAGTTACCCCTGTTTTTAAAAAAGGGGACATGAATCTACCATCTGCTTACAGACCTATTTCAATTATACCAATAGTAAACAAAATTTTTGAAATAGTAGTCCAATTAAATAGACCTTTAAATCAAAATTTTGGAGGAAATACAGGAATTTTTGATATAAGTCACTTAAGAGTATTTGAAAACGATTTGTAAAAAAAATTTGTTTTTCAGGCACCGGCAAATGTCAAAAAACAAGAAAATAAAGTGTTTTTTTAAGGTTATTTAAAAACAGTAGTTGCTATAAAAAAAAGTTCTTAGTCAAAATTGTAAAGCATAAAGTTTTACATAAAAATGATATTTGACATTTTTTGGTATTATTCAAACTGACAGTTAGGGTGGTTAGAAATTAAGAGAAGCGAGCTGAAAATTGAATAATTTTGTAGTTTCTTTTTATTATTTACTCAGAAAATTATAAATTTTTTTTAAGAAATTTTTTTTTTTATTTTTTAAGTTATAAAAATTTTAATTTAGAAATTTTCAATATATTATACGAATTTATATGGTAAAATAAATTTTGAAGTAAGCTTATTAGCTTGACTGACATGAAAGATATAAGGAGTGAAATTCCATTAAATAAATAAAAATAAAAACAAATAAAAAAGAACTAAATCAAAATATTAAAAAAATAAAAATAAAGATAATAAAAAATGAATCAAGAAAAATAGGCAAATTAAAAAATATATAAAAATAAGTAAATAATAAATATATAAATAAAATTAAACAAAAATAAATAAAAAGAAATAAAAATGAATAAAATAAAGAATATTCATTTTTATTTATTTATAAAAAATAAAATGACATATTTAAAAAAATTAATGAAAATAAATATTTTTATTTATTTGTATTTATTTTTATTTACTTATTTTTATTTTTTTTTTTTTCAATTTGCCCATTTTTATTTATTAATTTTTTATTATCTTTATTTTTTTTATTTTCATTTTTATTTATTTTTAATATTTTTGTTTGGTTCTTTTATATTTGTTTTTATTTTTATTTATTTATTTAATAGAACTTCAAGTGGAGACCAAACTCTCGCGATGTCGTTTTTATTAGTGCATTCGTCATATTTTTCATGTCAGTCAAGCTAATAAATTTACTTCAAAATTTACTATACATATAAATTCGTATAATTAGTTGAAAATTAAAAACAAAAAAAAATAATTTTTCTTAAAATCAATTTATAATTTTCTGAGTAAATAATAAAGAGAAAATACAAAATCATTGAATTTTCAGCTCGCTATGATTTTGCCAAGTTATATATATCTCCTCTTAATTTCTAACCACCCTAACTCTGTCAGTTTTAATAATATCAAAAAATGTTAAATACAATTTTTATGTAAAACTTTATGCTTTACAGTTTTTATTAAGAACTTTTTTTGATAACACCTACCGTTTTTAAATAATCTTAAAAAATCACTTTATTTTCTTGTTTTTTGACATTTGCCGGTGCCTGAAAAACAAAATTTTTTTACATATCGTTTTCAAATACTCTAAAGTGACTTATATCAAAAATTCCTGTATTTCCTCCAAAATTTTGATTGAAAGGTCTATTTGATTGGACTATAGTGTTAAAACAATGAATTATGAATTTTTTTGAAAACAACAAGTTGCTAAGCCAAAATAAATCATACTTGTGTCAAAATAACCTCAACCATAATCAATTTGTGCCTAGGCAGACAACACTAACCTTGTGACAGATGGAGGAACATATCCTAAATCAATAAAGCACTGTATTGATGTTTTCAGTAAAATAAAGGAATGACTGGCACAAAATAAAATAGTCTTAATTGAAACCAAAATGAATACAATACTATTCAACAATACAGTTTAAAATGGAAAACCAAAAATAATAGTGACATTTCCTTCAAACCAACTGATAACACAAGATGTTTATGACTAATTATTATGGCTGAACTCTTAAAATGGTCACAACATATAGATGAAACTTCAAAGAAACTGAACAAAATAACTTAAGGAAATCTCCAAGATACTGCTAATTTTGAATCTGTCCTAAGATATGGAATATTTTTTGGAGCATTGCTGAAAAACTATTCCCAATAAAAAAAACAGCAGTGAGAATACCTAACGACATTTTGCAGGAGTGTGTTTAAAGCAAATAACATCTTAACTGTATATGGTTTACATATTTTCCTGGATATTTTCTGAAGCATAATGAATATTAATAAAAACAGAGACACTTTTGATAATAGTACAATTTCTCATAACTATAACACTAGAAAAAATCACCTAAATTGTCCATATCATAAATTAAAAATGACTGAAAAATGTCCTTACTACATAGCAATTAAATTTTACAACTACCTTTAAGAAAAAAAAATATATTTTTTAAAAGCAAACTCTGAACACCTTGAAAATTTATAATTTCTTCTGAGCCTTTATTTTTAGTCCAGTGTTCGTGAAATTTAAAGGAAATACCAATAAAAACAAAACTTAGGGTACAGAAACAATTACGCGATCATTCTGTATTAAATCTATGAAAATTTGCTGCTTTTTTTAAATTTCTAGTAGTTTTTCCTTCAATGTCTCTATAGAGTGCTGTCTTAACATTGCACACATTTATAGCTCTCAATATTCACGAAACACATAATATGGTGAATTATTCCTACATAATGTGGCATGCCTATGGCTATGGATATGAGTATATAAGTTCATGTATGATTATTGATAGATTCATTGTTACTTATTCCTTAAAAGTATAAAATATAAGGTGTTATTAGTTTAAAAGGTGTATAATTGTGTTACCCTGACAATATTCCTACAATAAATACAATTTTATATTAGAAAATTCTTAAAGCTTTCATGAGAGATCAGGTTTGTTCTTAAATAATAAATTTAGAAAGAAATTAAAAACTAATTATGGAATAATTAGAACCTTATTGTATTAGTGAATATTTAGATTCTAATTTATTTTAAAAATTGTGTCATTCTTTTAGTTATAAATAATATTTTGTATTTCTCAACTCTTCAAAAATTTGTAGAACAGTAAAAAATTATTATTATTATTACCTTTGCTTATAGTCTTGTTGTAATCGATAATTTTCTGCACATAAATAGTCTCTGTGGGCCCCAAAGCGCCAGAAGCGAACGTGGGTCGATCGAACGTTATAGTTAACTGTTTCCCAACTTCAATAGCAGCACCAGAACTGGTACTCATAGCGTTCAAAATTTTCCTCTTTTCCTGCTTCCACTCGGACTGTTGGTGCTCCCAGGCCATATCGTACGTAAAAGCCAACATTTTATTATAACCTGAATCAAATACCCCCAAAATCTTATTCCTGATCTCATTCTCCAAAATATTACTGATATCCAAGTCTTCGACGGGTTGAATTGGCTCGAAAGTTCGTTTGGTGCTCAACGATTCTAGCTTTTGAGCGATTTTAGGTAAATCTATACCTTTGGAGCCCAATAAAAGGTTGGCTTGTATGTCTTGGGCCCCAGTTTGGGCGACTCTCGTGTATAAATCATTTGCCGCTTCTAGTACTTGTCGTAGGGAACGTTCTACTTTGGGAAGCTCTGTGGTGCCTTCTAAATCGTTAGATAGTTTTTCGGCTTCTTGAAGCAGCTCCGAGAAATCAGACATTTTTTAAACTGAAAATTGATTATCTGGAAAGGAAAAGTAGCTTAGTTAAACAATAATGTGTGGTCGATTGGTTCTAAAACTTACTTTTTTTGTAGATAATTTTCATTTATACTTTGCTGAAGATTCAAAAACGATTTTCTTAATTTGTTAGGTTATGTTTAAAAGTAAGAAACTAAGAAAGTTTTGGAGTTTTAGATTTTTGTATTTATTGCTCTAGAGATTGTCCGATCGGAGCTACAAACAATCCAACGTTGCCATTTGTATGACGAATGAACTATTAGACTATTTGTGAAAGGTATTTCGGTAAAAAAGTTAAATCATTGTACCTAAATCTTCAAAATTCAAATAACTGTTTTTTGTAAAACCGTCTACAATAGATATATGTATATGTAGAACTTAAAAAATCATTAGTAGTTAACTACTTACATATTTATTATTTGGGTACCTACATAGGTGTAAATAAACTCAAAAGTGGATCCAAGAAATATTGTCTGTAATGTCACAGTTTTTATTTGTGTGAGATCAATAAAATTAATTAATAATTTTTTTAAATGCATTGATTATGCTATTAAGTATATTCTTCGGTTTTTGGTAAAATTTGACAACCCTAAAGTTAAAACTTCGTACACTTTCGTTTAAATTCGATTTCGCTTTATATTTTTCTGTAGTGTATATAAGTCCGATATACGGAGAAATAATTGGGATAATTTATATTAAATAAAAAAAAAAAAATGAAAAAAAACCGAAGGTACCCTTTCTAACAAAAAGAATCCAAGAAATCGGACAAAATGGTAAAGAATTATCGCTGAATATACATAAATATGAAGAGTTTGATTTTGTCATGTATCCACACTCATATCTACGCTTTTCTTGAAGTTAGTTCAACAAATTAGATTTTAGATTGAATTTTGGGAAATTTGAACAGCAAAATCACGTCTTTACTTAAATATCTCGGCAGCCATTTGAACTAGAAAGATGCGGTTTGCGACATTGAACCCGAGAAAATGGTATACATAAATATTGCAATATCTCAAAATTTGAAAAATCGGAGAGTGGTTTTCAAACGGTTTGAAGTAGTTTGTGAGGGCTACCATTAGAGACCTAATTTTTGATCGTTATTGACAGAAATCAGAAGGGGATCTATCGACTTTTTTTGTTTTTTTTAAACGTCCATATGTAAGTATTCATTTATTGTTTCTATTTTAGTTATTAGACTACGCCAAACAAGAAAAGAGAAAATTAGTAATCGGTGGAATTTATCAAGATTGGATAATCAAAGGACCCGATTGGCTGTGGCTGATGTGGAGCAGAATCAAAGCTCTATTTGCTGCACCTAAAAGAGTAGAGCTGAGACAAGATTTTGGGTAACTCATGAGTTTAATTTCAAAAATGTATAAGCAGTACGTGTATATTTGAGACAGAGTTTAGCTACTAATATGACTTTATCTAATAACTATTTTAAATTTGTTCCTAGTGATTTTCTTCTGACGATTCCACCTGAGCCGACAAAAGTCGGCCAATTCGAAGAACACATGATGAGAAAGAAATACGTCGAAATAGTCAAAGACCCCGATCTCGTTAACGCTTTCTACGCAATCTACAAGAAAGACAATAAACTCGAAGTGGGGGAAATGGTCAGAGATTATTTCCATTACTTCCCGCGACAATTACAACACGAGGACTCTTCGACTAAAAGGAGCAGCAAAGACGTCGGTAGCAAAGTGTCGATGTCGTCGAAAGGATCCAAAAAATCGAAATCAAAGAGCTCCCTAAAAGGTTCGAAGTCGTCTAAGACCTCAGTAAAGAAGTCTAAAGTTTCTGTAGTCGAACCAGCAGAAGGAGGTTTGTACAATGTGTCAGTAGAAATGCAACGAATAGACATTTTTTTCGTGACATGGGATAAAACTTCAAATAAAATCACACTACATCGTGTTATTGTTCAAAAAAAAAACCTCAAAGCACAAATGTATGACTGGTATTTAAACTAATTATATATAAAAACAACTTGACAGATTAGTAAACGAACGTTTGTATGTCAAAAGCACCAAACACTCTACCTGTCAATTTCAATAAGCAACCATCACTCATCGATAGAACATTGAAATGCCTAATTAATGTAGACTGACATGTTTCCACTTTCCAGTGTGATACGCACACAAGTAATTTTTTGGTCCAAAGCCTGTATTGACACATGATCCATGTGTAATTGATTAATTCACTTTCTTATAGGTAAAGGAGGTTCCAAAACAGAAGGTCAAAGAGAAGGTTCTAAAGTGAGGATATCTGAAACTGGAAAATCTACGGATGGACAAGGAGGTTCTTTGGCTCCGATACAAGAAGAGGTCACTGCTACTTAATATCTTCGTAGCCTGTGTGATCTATTCAGTTGCTATATAGATTGAAGATTATTAGAAATTTGAGTTAGTTTTGAATTTTAAATTGTTTCACTTTTTAAACTTTTTGTTTTTCATGTTTTATCTTTGGAAAAAAAATTGATTCGAAAAATTTTGGTATAAAAATAAATGAACACGAAGTGTTATTAATAGTGTTTGCATAATTTAAAAATAAATTGTTCCAAACAAAATATAAATAATTCTACTTTTATTTCATCCTTCGTCTAGACTAAACTGTATATAGACTATTTTCCTTACAGGAGCTCCGCAAGGATCAATTCAAAGACTTTATATTTGAATATAAGGATCATTTTCTGACAGCAGAATTTTATATAAATAAAAATTTCCTTGGTTTATTCGGTCATATTGTTTTTATTTTTCATCATTTAAGCACAAGTACTACATAAGTTTTGGATTTTTTCCCATCTTCTGGTGATGTCAAAATTTAATAAAACATTGGGATTACAAACAGTTTAAAATGTTTATTATATACGGGTAAATGATTTATGCATTTTTATGAAACCTCATCACAGTATACTATTTGCTGATATGCTACTACCTATTCTAGTGAAAACTGTAAAGTTGTTAGGTTATGTCCAGCGTTGCCAGACGTATTATGGAATTGTACCATAATTTGTGCCTTAATAAGGGTGAGATTACAGAACGTCTGCAACTTTGCATCTGCAACTTTGCAAATATGGCGGACTTACAAATGTAAGTATTCCAAAAAATATCTGCAAATTCGCAATATTTATTGTGGTTTACCCCCAACAACACTAAACCCAAATTTGGAATACGAAAACTTGATACTTGCATGTGTAAGTCAGTCATATTTGCAGATTTTCAAAGTTGCCGCCATATTTGCAGATCTGCAAAGTTGCAGACGTTCTGTAATCTCACCCTAAATCATCAGCAGTCAGTGAACGTATATACCATAATAAATTACACCATTATTTCGATCGATTTAATGTTTTGCTCAAAAACTATTCAACAAATATTTTTAATGATTTAATGATCGCGCTGTTAACCTAAACATATTTAAAAAAAAAAAAGATATAGAACTCAGAAATGCAAGATTTTGAATCTTTGTATTTACATTTTATAATGGCAAAATGTATTTTCTGGTAATAGTCCAATAAAATGGGATTTTAAATGTCTTTTCGAATAGAAAATATATACAAAGAAAATAAAAGTTAAAAAGTCTTTTGGTAGGTAGAGAGGGGGTAAACGTCAAACCACGTCGGGCGGCTCCGAGAATTTCACAGTAATGTTTACCTGCCAGTGTCGTTTCATAGAATAAGTAATTTTAAATTGTTATCGGCGGAACCGGACAATCGCATATATTTATGGATTATAAATAATTATTAAACATGTATTATAATATTCAAATTATAATTTTACAAAATTTCAACAGCTGTTCACAATTTATTAAACTATTTACTCGAAATTGTTATTAACATCTATAAAATAATTTTGTTCGCCAATGTATCGCGTCCACTTCAGTAAGATCCGCTGCCAACCTGTCAATTTATGTGTATAAAGTGGGAGAACTGGCAAAAGCATTTCCAACTTTTACTTCTGTTCTACCTCATGCCAAAGTTTGGGGAATCCCCCCATTAATTATTCTGTTTGCCGTTACTTTTGATACAATAGGTTCTTTCGTTCGCTGTTGGTGCAGTGTCCACCAGTGTAAATTACACCAGTTACACCACCTTATTTACCTTAGTTTACTTCCCTCCTTATTCCTTATACTCATTTCGAGTGTAATTCACTCCTGCTAAATAGCTGGTGGAGAAAATATCCACCAGTGGACACCACATCGCCGACAGGAAGGTTTAGTGGATTTTACACCGGGCCGAACGAAAGGTTTAGTGTACGTTGGTGTAGTTCATTCCTACACCAGTGGGACGAACGAAAGAACCTAATCGGTGTTAGTGGTTGTTGAAGTTAACCTTTTCGTTGCATTTTAAATTTATTAGTTTTTAGTTAATGTAATGGCGGCAAGTTCATCGCAAAATGCATTTGATTCGTATGGATCAGACTCAGATGAATAATAATGCAATAGCAAACGCTTTAAAAATGTTCAAATTATTATGTTATTTGTGCCGACGTATACTAACTACTTATTACAAATTTGTACCATAATTTTCCCTAAAATTTTATATTTGACATCTGGCATCGCTGTTTATGTACTACAGACATTAAATTAAACTGGTCCAGTCATCTCGAACAATTGAAAAAAAGTTATCTGGTTTCTTATTCTTACTTCGTCAATTAAAAAAACATAACTAGTTACCATACTTTAAAAATAGCTTAACTTTCCTGTTTTTTATTCCCATATATTTTTAGGGAATCTGAAGCCATTCTCGATCAATAAAAAATGTCAGATATAGTAACTCTTGTAGACTTATTTGTAAAATGTTAAATTATGACTGATCCGTTTCTGTATAAAATGTATATCAGTCTTATTGAAATTTACAAAAAAGCTCCCTCTCATTTCCCAGTCAGTCTGGTATTCACTCTTATAACACTAGAAATGTTGACTTAATTCGACTACCTAGATATTAAAAACACAAAAAAACTCATACGACAAGAGTAAGTATGTATGCACTAGTAATTTAAAATCGACAATCTTATTTTATTTTAAAAAATGACTGAAAGTTTACTTTGAAAACAACATAATATCTTCATCTACTTTTAAGGTTATGAATAATTAACCAATTAAATTGAAGGTAATTAAAATACAAAAACGACTTTAGTGGCTTTTTTCGGCGATAAGTTTAGTGTATCCTGTAGGCTTTCCTTAATCCAGTGTTGGAATTTTTTTTTATGAGTACGTCATTATTTTTCTATAGCCACTACCAGTTATCGTAAATCGTAAAAGTCGTGAAAGGATGTTTACAACTTGCAACTTTACTAAGTGTTGTTTGTGTTGCCTACCTATTGATAACTAGAACATTGAAATATTTTCAAAATTATATAAAACGAGCGTAATGAATTCCAGTACCCACAATAACTTTCTTAATTTTTTTTTTACTTTTAAACTGTTTTTTACAGTACCTACCTAGTAAATATAATAAAAATTTTAATTTACTAAGATTAAAATGCTAAATTATTAAATATTACACTATCAGTGGGCATTTATTACATTATATATTAAGTAGTTATAACCGCCCTTCTTTTTTCTAGTATTACACCCAATATACACAAGTTAAAATAGCCTTAGTAGGTAACAACAATACCTTTCAGATTGCCTGAATTTGTCCAAATTGTTTTTTGTTGCTTTTAAAACCAAATACTTACCTAAGTGTTTTCAAAGTGTTTTTAATATAAATTCATGATAGGTACCACCTTTTAAAATATAAATGGAAAAGGGCATAAAGAGAGTTAAAATATAAAAGGTACATTCACTGATTTAATAAATCTCATAATTATTTGTACCATTTTTATGGCAGTTTCGATGAAATTTTATATTTAAATTAATTATAGGCACTTTAATATTAGTTTTTTTTGGTCTGAGGATGTAAATAAAGATTGTTCTGATACTGACGTCAAAGAGAATTAATTGTGCGTTTTCTACGAATGAATATAAACTATTGGAAAATATAACAACTTGTTTACGTGTTTATCCCCGTTACCACGACGACCGACCTCGGTGTAAACAAAACGTGTAAAACGCAGAAACTTTCCATTGTTTTTTTTTTGTCTACGTCGATAAACAGTTTAACAATTGGTCAAAAACTGTCTAGAAGTTCTTCTAAAATGGAGGAAGACAATTCTTGGGTGTTCGATTCGTTGGTGACTTTTCTTAACGGTCCAATATGGAACGCACCGTTGCAAACGTTCATCGAAGAAAAATCTTTAAGTACGAACAGAAAGAGGTCAGTATTTTCGGATATATTTTCAAAATTTTTGGTTTTTTAGTATTCGAGCCCAACGCAGAAGATAATGAGGACTACCATAAAATCTTTGACGAGTTTAAAAACTTGGTAAACAGATTTAAATGCGTTTATAGTTATTATTTTTGATAGGTTGAATGTTTTAGGTTGATTTTATGCTTGGTAGTTTCATGGAAGACATCGGTATAACTTCCGAACAATTTGAAAATGCTTGTAAAGAAAGTAAAAGGTATCAGGTGGCTTTCGATCCTGTAAGTAAAAGTTTATTATTCACTTTGTCCTCGTCGTCAATTTATATTATTTCGACAATTATTTAGATTATTATTTAGACGATTATTTAGACGATTATTTAGACGATTATTTAGACGATTATTTAGACGATTATTTAGACGATTATTTAGACGATTATTTAGACAATTATTTATACGATTATTTAGACAATTATTTGCACATTTAGACAATTTTGGACACTTATTTAGATGATTATTCAGACATTTATTTAGAATATTATGTAATAGATTATGTAAACGATTATTTAGACTATTATTTAGACTATTATTTAGACGATTATTAAGACAATTTTTTAATTATTTAGAAGTACATTTAAACAATTATTTCGACGATTATTTAGATGATTATTCAGATATTTAATGTGAAAATTATTTGGACGAGTATTTAGACTATATGTAGACGATAATTTAGACCATTTTTTAGACGTATATTTAAACAATTATTTAGAAAATTATTAGGACCTTTAATTTGAAAGATTAGACAAATATTTAGATAACTATTTAGACAACTATTTAGACAACTATTTAGACAACTATTTAGACAACTATTTAGACAACTATTTAGACAACTATTTAGACAACTATTTAGACAACTATTTAGACAACTATTTAGACAACTATTTAGACAACTATTTAGACAACTATTTAGACAACTATTTAGACAACTATTTAGACAACTATTTAGACAACTATTTAGACAACTATTTAGACAACTATTTAGACAACTATTTAGACAACTATTTAGACAACTATTTAGACAACTATTTAGACAACTATTTGGAAGATGATTTAGACATATATTTAGACAAATATTTAGATAATTATATAGACCATTATTTAGATAAATATATAGACCATTATTTAGACAAATAGATAAATATTTAGACAATTGAAGAGTAATCTAATTAAGTTATTAAGTGCTAAAATATTATTTTTTTTTATCAATGTCAGGGCCAATGTCCGACTAAAAGATCTAAGTGCTAATATCAGACAATTATTTAGAAATTTAATTAGACAATTATTTAGACAATTATTTAGAGAATTATTTAGACAATTATTTAGACAATTATTTAGACAATTATTTAGACAATTATTTAGACAATTATTTAGACAATTATTTAGACAATTATTTAGACAATTATTTAGACAATTATTTAGACAATTATTTAGACAATTATTTAGACAATTATTTAGACAATTATTTAGACAATTATTTAGACAATTATTTAGACAATTATTTAGACAATTATTTAGACAATTATTTAGACAATTATTTAGACAATTATTTAGACAATTATTTAGACAATTATTTAGACAATTATTTAGACAATTATTTAGACAATTATTTAGACAATTATTTAGACAATTATTTAGACAATTATTTAGACAATTATTTAGACAATTATTTAGACAATTATTTAGACAATTATTTAGACAATTATTTAGACAATTATTTAGACAATTATTTAGACAATTATTTAGACAATTATTTAGACAATTATTTAGACAATTATTTAGACAATTATTTAGACAATTATTTAGACAATTATTTAGAAAATTATTAGGACCTTTAATATTAAAGATTAAACAAATATTTAGACTATTATTTAGAATATGATTTAGACGTATATTTAGAGAATTATTTAGACAAATATTTAGCTAATTATATATAGACCTTTATTTAGACAAATATACTGGGTGTACCAATAAAAACTCCCAGGCCGCATATTTTGGTAAGTAATAGTTACATTTTAATTCTGTAAAACTCAGTTCACAAAGCACTAAAGGAGCTTCAGTTTTATATATAAATTGATTTTAAATAGGTCAATATGTAGATGGCGCTGCACTCAATAAATTTTTTTCGATGAGAGGATCTTTTTTGTGTAGCGCATCTTATAAAAAATGCATTTTTAAGCAGATTTTGTTCTATAAACTAATTCGATAAATGTAGCCATTTTTGATATACAGAGTGGGTCACTCAAAACAGTTTCATCCTGTTTTTCAGCATTGGATTTTAAGAAAATGCTAAAACAGGTCGATTTTTATTCCAAATTAAAAATATTTTTACAATACAGACATCTGTCATGTGTCAACCCCCTCCCTTGCACTTCTCCAACACCTTCATTTTAAATAGGTAATGTACCATGTATGGCACATCATTGAAAAGGTAATTTAATGGGAGATTCAGAAATATTTCTTTACATTGCGTTACTTAAATAGTATCGCCCTCTAGCGGGATAAAAAACTACTACGTATTATAGAGTGATACTACAATGTGTAGTACATCATTAAAAGGGTAATTTTAATTGCACCGCCCTCTATCGGGATAAAAAACTACGTATTATAAAGTGTGGAACCTTATTTGAAAGCAAATTTAATTACTAATTCAATGTACTACATAACATTAACATAAATATCCTCCATATTGCACTTGCAATTGTTTAAAAATTAGTCATGCATTATTTTAAACATTATTGCTAACTTTATTTTGTTGCAAGTGCAATATGGAAATATTTATATTAATGGTATGTGGTGCATTGAATTAGTAATTAAATTAACTTTCAAATGAAGTGTCACACTTTATAATACGTTACAGGTTTTTTATCCCGATAGAGGGCGCTAAAATTAAAAGTATCGCATTAAACAGTCATATTTCTAACTTCTCCATAAAATTAACTTTTCAATGATGTGCCGTACATGGTACATTCCATATTTAAAATTAAGAGGTTGAAGAAGTGGAAAGGAGGGGGTTCACATATGGCAGATGTCTGTATTGTTTATCGAATTAGTTTATAGGACAAAATCTTATTTTTACCAGATGCGTCATATAAGAAAGCTCCTGCTATCGAAAAAAAAAATATTGATCGCAGCGCCATCTACATATTGACCTATTTAAAATTAATTTATATCTAAAACTGAAGCTTTCTTAGTGCTCCGTCAACTGGCTTTTACAGAATTAAAATATCTCTATTACTTACCAAAATGTCCGGCCTGGGAGTTTTTATTGGTACACCCTGTATAGACCATTATTTAGACAATTGAAGAGTAATCTAGTGCTAAAATATTTTTGGTTTTTTTTTATCAATATGTCAGGGCCAATGTCCGACTAAAAAATCTAAGTGCTAATATCAGACAATGACTTAGACAATTATTTAGACATTTAATTAGACATTTAATTAGACAATTATTTAGACAAATATTTAGCCAATTATTTATAAAAGTGTTTAGACAATTATTTTAGACAATTATTTAGTATATTATTTATATAATTATTTAGACAATTCTTTAGACATTATGTTTAGACTTTGTTTCAATAGTAAAGAGTATAACAGCAAATTTTATCGTAGTGGTTGAAAATGACGTTTAAAGAGGTCGCTGACTGTATGTTAGGCATGATAATCTCAGCAGTTTTCTCTGATTTCTGGCAATTTTCAATTTCGGCCCTTAGATCACTTAGTTCGAGCACGCTTTAATTATGTAGACAAATATTTACCAATTGTTACATTTATTTAGACAATTATTAAGACCATTAATTTAGACGATTATTTAGAAAACTATTTAGATAATTATAATGGGCTGCTAAGTTTAGTCCACCAACTTCACACCGGTGATAAACAAGTCAAAATTTGGTCAGCTATGACACCAATGTGCTCTTTATTATTGAAATTAACTCTATAAAAAAAACGTTCTAGAATTCCTTTGAACAAGTTTGGGCGGCGAACGATTATGAAATGTTTAAAAAAATGATGACTCAAAGGAACGTGGAACTGCAATTGCAAGCGTTGGAGTTGATAGAGAAGAAATACGGAATAACTCCTCAATCGTTCGTTCCCAAAGACAGAAACGAAAACGAAAATATCCGGCAAATTCCAGTTACTATTGAAAAGCCTTCCTCTTCCGCTTTAGAGAAGGATGTTATGGAAGAAGTCACGAAGTAAGCAGTTGTTTCAAAATGCCTTCTTCTAAATCATTAACATTTGTAGATTTTGAATTTATTTTTAATCTATTTTTTAATCTGTTTTAAATCTATTTTCTAATCTATTGTTAATTTGTTTATTAATCTATTTTTTCTTTTATTTTTAATTTATGTTTTAATCCATTTGTTAATCTATTTTTTAAAATCTATTTTTGAGCAATTTTTTTAATATACGTTTAATATATTTTTTAGTCTATGTTTTAGCCCATTTTTTAATCTATTTTTGATTTTTTTAATCTATTCTTTAAACCAATTTTTATCGATTTATTTATTTTTAATCATTCTATTTTTTAACCTATTTATAATTCACCTAAATATATTTCAATCAACCAGTAATGTGTCTTTATGATAAACTTAAGCAAACATAGAAAATTTTTAGATAATTAATTTTTTTTAAAGGAATTTTTCTAATGCATCTGAGGAACTTCCTTCAGCTCCCATGAAGGTTGAAAATATTTTGGAAGAAAAACAAATTTTGGAGAAAAGTTTAGAAGCAACTAAAGGTACTTTTCAAAAATTATTATTATTATTATTATTATTATTATTATTATTATTATTATTATTATTATTATTATTATTATTATTATTATTATTATTATTATTATTATTGTTGTTGTTGTTGTTGTTATTTGTCGGTATTTTAGGTTTTATTTTTTGATACATGTTTGTAAATTTATTGTTTTGAATAAAGCCATGGGCGAAGTTAGGGGGGGGGCTTGGGGGGGCTAAGCCCCCCAAAAACCAAATTAGCCCCCCCAAAAATAATTCGAACATTTATCGCACATCTATCCACACATTTCAGATTTCAGAACAGAAATTAATAAATAAAGAAAAATCGTGCCCTTTGATTGATTCTGAAATTTTACATTTAGTTCAGGAGGCAGTGAATTTTACTCGTACTCATTTTTCCAATCGGTGTATATGAAAATAAACTGTTCTCTTAGTGACAAAAAACAAACATTTTGAGTCTGACACTTATTTTCCCAGTCATAAATATTTTACATTTACTAAACTAGAACATAAAGCTTATAAAAATAGCAGTTTGGAATATCTCAGATAGTGGAAAGTGAGTGTGGCAGAAAATTTAGCATATAAATTGATACAATCATGAACTGTTAACAATAATAAGTCTGGCTGATTTACGAAATTGGCAAATGAGTCTGGTAATATCTTCGTAATCGAAAAAATATAATATTTTTGCTTTTATTTTCCCGGGTTTGAAAATTTGTCATGTGATAGATTATATTATAATTTTACAGCTCTATTTTGTAGCAGATCAAATACCGTTATTTTCAAACGCGTCCATGAAAAATTTCCGGAAATTTTTCTTTTGGTGGTTACCCTGAACGAAATTATACTGAACATTTTTTTGAGAGTTGAGAAGCTCTTTTATGCATATGTTTTATATGTTGTTTTATGGCCAGCTTTGAAAATTTGATTTTATTCGTTTTAATGTATGTCTGTCAAGTTTTGAAATTTTGGATATTTTGGTGTAAAATTTTCTTACCCAATACCTACCACTGGTACCTAAATTATTATCAGTAAATTTTTGCTCACTCACGCATATTTTAAGAAAAATATCAATCGTCTTCGACTCTGGATACATTTCAAAATATTCGTAAGGTCGAAAAAAATTTCGGAAATAATTTAGGCACTAGTGGTATTCTAAGTGAAAATATAGGTCTGGCTGACAATTAAAATCACGAAGGCCTGCCAGACTCACAAGTAGTGTTCGGCCGAAGGTTCGGTTACGGTTTTGGCCAACTTCGGCTTAAAATAAGAGTTTCGACTACAGTTTCGGTTTCGGCGGAAAACTGGTCGAAACTGCAGCCAACTACGAAACTACTTTCGAAAGTTTTCGTATCACACTTGGTTGTGTCCGGCACAATAGCGACTGTGCCGGGTGCCATTCCTACACAGTGCACGTACTTCTCTGCTTTGTTTCAAGTGAACAGTCTTCAGTGCTCCTGGCCTAATTTATTCGTATCAAAGGAGCATTTTTTTAGGTGAAACGTGGAAAAAATATTATTTCTAGCCTACAACGTTAGACTGTTTACTTATGAATATTAATTTAATTATAAGTAACAAACATATTTAATTATCTGAATTTGTTTTTTTTTTAATAAAAATTACATTATATATAATATAATTCCCTTCATAATACTATTTTTTGTTACAAAAAATCTAGAGACAGATGCAGAAATGATTGCTACTTTGTAATTCACTTATTTTTTTTTTTTTTAGTTTCAAAAGTAATAAAAAAAAGCAATGTCAATAAATTTATTAATGACTTCTTTTGATCACATAAATAAATAGGTAATAAGTAAATGTAGCTAAAATTTATAATACGAGTTAATTAGTCTTAAACAAAGATATTGCAAATTTCAATAAGAGATTGCCTTAAAAGAAAGTTCTTATTTCTGTTTCGGTTTCGACCGAAACTAAGTAAGGAGCCGAAATTGGGTTTCCGTTTCGGTTATAAAACCGTATTTCGGTCGGACCTGACAAGCCAGGTAGTTAAACGAGGAGAGGAATAGTAATCGAACGTGCAGAATTTAGCGCACCTGACGATCATTAGACAAGTCCGGCAAGGCTTTCGGGGTGTTCCACATTAGCCACATTGTATTGTATCATAATATATATTTTTCTACTACTGGGAACACTTGTAACAGGGATCCTTACTGGGCATTGCCAACTAAAAGGACACCTTAGTAAACTGAGAGTAGTAGAAAATAGTGAGTGAAGATTCTGTGAGGAGAAGGACGAAACCTTCATTTATATTCTAACTGAATGTGTAGCACTCCAGAATCCAAGGGCACTATACCTAGGAGCATATCAAATAGAAACTTGAAGCCACTCCAAATCCTACACTTCCTTGAGAAGATATAATTGAAAGGGTCGTTATAGGCATTGAGACATTTCCTTGCTGCATTAGCGACAGAAAGGGGTACAATAGATATTTTAGGTCGCAGTGTATTAACACCCCCATTCCCAACATAACATAACATAGCGAGAAAACTGCAAAATAATGAAATCCACAAATCCCAGTTCATATTTTGGACATACAACTACTATTATTTGTAAAATTTTAAATTATGACAAAATGTCAGTATATTTTTTAGTCATTAAGATTACATATACGATAAAATTAGTTATTTTCGTTTAGAATCGATAAAAAAATAACATTTTAATTTTATTTGGGCCACATTTAAAAAAGTAAATTTTAATCAAATTATATGAAACTAATTTAATTACGATATAAAATTAAAAACCTAAACGTGGCGGTGGAGCTGAGGGCAGAGCATTTGCCTTCCACGCGAATAGCCTGGGTTCGAATCTGGACTAGGGGCTAATTTTTTTTATGTTTTTTTTTTTTAAATTAATAAAATTTATAAATTATTTTATAATGGCTTATTTTGTCTAAACCTAAAATAATTTTTTAAATTTGTAGATTTTCGTTAGTAGTTCGTAGAAAAAATATACTGCACAACTCGAGTGGATTGTCCATATCTACTCTTTTTGCGAAAATTAGGGAAATTTTTGTGATGAAAATTATTGTGATGAAAATTATTCAGTTTTTTCACTTATATATGATATTTTATTCATTTTCATAGATTCGCCAGAATTTTTTTACTTAACTTCAGTATACCTCTAGAACTATTATATATTATATGACTATGGTTAGGGCTTTAGCCCCCCCAGATCTGATGACATAACTTCGCCCATGAATAAAGCACTTATTATTATTATTTTAGAAAAACGTATAAAACCGTCAGTATCTTTTGAAGAACCCCAAAAAACACCAGAAATAGTCAAAATTAGCGCCCCAGAAGTTAAAAAAGACGAAGATGGGAAGAAAGATAACGATTCGAAGAAAAAAGAGGTAAATAAAAAATGTTTCTTTTCTTTTTCTGAAAATGGCGTTGAATTTTCAAATGGTCAATAAGTGTAAGTTGTATTAACTACTTTTGCGATCTACCAATAATATTTAAATAAAAACTAAAATATTTAAAACATGTCAAAATCAATTACAGAATAGATTGTTTTTGTTTGACACACAAATTACGTAACACTATACAAGGTGGCCCATTTAAAAATGGAAAAGTTCAATTTTTACTTTCCTCTCTGTGTACAGGTAACGAAAGTATAGGATTCATGATTTTTTTCGACCTCCTGTTTTCAACGGATTTTTACGTTTTGGGGTCCCCTGAATCCGTTTCGACTATTTTCGCGATGATGTCTATGTGTGTGTCTGTATTCACCATAACTCATGAAACGATGCAAAGAAAAACCCCAAATTTTAAACTTAAGCTTTATTCCGGCTTGCGGTGAACTGATTAGATTTTGGTCAGAGTTGAAACATCTGCGGGGTAATTTATAGGGGGTCATTTTTATATTTTATAAAATATATCTGTTTGTTGAAATTACATTCAACATGTCCTATCTGCTAAATACTAGGTAAACACTCCCTGTATAAACCTCCGCTTTTAGCAAACAAAAATAATAAAGTACTGAATAGTCACTCCCTGTATAAACTAATTATCTAAACTTGAGACAACACGCTTGACTTTCAAATGACCGCCAAACACCTGCTATGTCGCAAAGACACCTGTGTTTTCGCAAACAGTTAATATTATCACGTACGCAATCATCTGATCTGGGACGGCCAATGAGAAAAAAGGCGGTAAAACCGTCGCTGGCTGGCGGGATTGTATCGGAGAAAAAACTTTCACTTTCGTTTTGTCAGTCGAACAACTCACATCAAAAAATCTTGTCAACGCCGGCAGCAAGCCGAAATTTAAGTAAAAGCATTTGTGCGATTTGATTTAAAAAGTTATAACATGTAATCAGTTAATAATTTATGTAACCAAGTATTAATATGTAAAATGTGGAATCAGTAAGCCGTGAATATATCAAATTCAAATATAAGGTGATAGTTTCATTTGAATAAAATCAGTGCATCAACCAGAACTTCGAGAGTATCTTCCAGAGGCTACAGGGTGGAGCATAAGGCCTTCACCCCAGGTAACATATTTCAAACATAGTCATACAGTCCACCATGATCGAAGGCAGTAAGTGTCAAGCCTTATAAACCCAGGGTAAGACACTGTTATTTACGTTTGGAGAAGAAAATTCTTTAAATAAAAGTTACTTCTAATATTTTTATGTATAATTTTTGTTTTATACAAAATTTTCCTAAAATGGTCCGTATTCAAGAAAGTTTTAAAATGTAAAAAATTCACTAAAAGATGTTTGCGATATCGATCTCTATAATTTTTGTTTCTTTACATATTTCTCTATAATGCACCGCAATGGAAAAATTGGAGGAAAAGTATATAGTTTAAATTTTTCAGCATTTTCATTGGCAATGAGTGTATATAAAAAAATGTTTCGAGTTAGATGTATGTGGAAAATGTATATATTAAGTTAATCTCTAAATATTTACAGAGGTGCTACAATAGGGTTACCCGACAATGCGCCCCGACAAATACGCTTCACGACATATGCGCCCCAACATTTTTTTATTGTTATTCTTTTTTTTATTTGATTACTGACAGATTTTTTTTAGTTTTTTAATTATATATTTTCCCTCTTGTGGGTTCGGGAATGGATATGGATTTTATGATTTCGTAGGGGAATGTTGATTAGATTTGAAATATATCATAAATATGACTCATTTTTTTAAAATCCAAAACCCTGTATATTATTTAACTATTAAGTTCGTTATTTACCCATTCAACGATACCGACATATGTTAGCCTTATATAAGGGTGTCCGGGAAAATGTGGGAGGTCTCTTGGATTCAGATAGAACATTAAAATATATAGGTTCCCATAATTTTTTTTCCTATAGCGGCCCAAAAGGACGCCACTGGAAATCAATTTTTCTTGAATAACTTTCAAACTACGTAATATAATTGAATGAAAATTTAATATGATAAACAGTAGTAAGAACCTCTTAAAATACTGTCCTTAAAACATAATTAGCTTGTTTAGTTTACCAGGGGCGGAATAGGTTGTACATTTTAATGCTTACATGATAACATACAGGATTTGAAAAAATTTAGAAAATATAACCTCATATTTTGACACACCCCGTATACAACATAGTAAATGGATGAAAATGCAAAACATATTTAGGAACATTAATCAACTAAAATTGTTTGACGTTGTTATTGTAATTACCTATGTATTTGCTTTAAAAGTTTGGTCAGCCCCTTATTTATGGACTACCCTGTATATTTAAGAGTAATTATAAAATATGGTCATACAACTTTTGTATTAAAAATATTTTTGTATCTCCAATAATTAAACTGCTATCGATCAATTACGCACTAATGGGACACCCTGTATATGTATAATATACTACAATATGATGTTGTGTTGGTATCGATGGCTAGGTAAATTTTATACTAATGTTTTATACAGGGCATTGCGTTTTAAAAATTAAGTAAATTTAACTTAAAATTAGCCATATTTAAGACATGTTACCTAAATTATGATAATTTATTTTAGTTCTGCATCATTCTCTAATTTCACAAAAAAATTAATTGCTTGGCAACCCTCTAATATATTTCAGAAATATTCTATATAGTGTTAAATAACATTATTATATGGCTAATCTAAAACTAAAATAAAACACAGGGTGTTTAATTTAAAAAGTATACATTTTTATTTGCCAGGCAAAAGCGTATGTCCAAGAATATTTTTAAAAATTAAAATTAATTTTATCGGGCGCATATGTCGGGGGGCCCATTTATCGTGGGCGATTATGTCGGGAAGCGGATTTGTCGGGGCGCATTTGACGGGTAACCCTACAACAGGTTGTACAAAATAACCGAAAAAAAGCCTGTAATAACTAGATAGGAAAGTCATGTGTTGGACACATCAGATTTTTTTAGAAAAAATCGACCTCTTCTGTCCTTCCTGTGATAGATGTCCAACGCAACTACAAAAAAAAAACGATTGATTTGAAGCTATATATTTAATGTAAAGTTTTGAAAGCAATCTAATATTAAAAAACCGAGATACAGGGGTGTATTTGCCTACAAATACAGTCGTATTTCGTAGGATTATCATTATCTAATTTTTTTTTATTTTTTTCTTTATAATGTGTAAGTTTCTTGTTGTTCTCTATTTGTGAATAAATAATTATTATAATTAATAAATTTCTTCGCAATTCTAAAATCATTTTTATCGGAAAGTAATTAACAGATATAAAGCATACCTTAATGGAGGTTGGTACTGGAATAAAAATCTTTATTTTAGGTGGACGCTATTGAACTGAAAAAACGCCAAGAATATCTGCGAGCCCAGCGCGACAAACTCGTAGCTTTAAAGAAAGAGGTCAGACGCAAACAGCTCGACGACTCCTCCACCACCTCGTCGACCTCCAAGTCTTCGGCGAGGCCGAAATCTGCTAAAAACGCCGAAGCTGTTTTGACAGGGGAAAAACCCAACGCGGAGCCGCATCAGCTGCAGCTGCGCAAAACGTTGGCGGAAAGGCTCAGAGCCGAGGTCGTGGCTTCGAAGGAGTAAAATTGTTCTGTAAGCGTATCTTCGAAAGCAGAAGGTTGTGTTTATTATAATCGGCAAACTGCATATTGTATACGAGCCCTAAACTGTATGTAAAGTAAGAAAAACTCTTAAAATCAGTACCATAATGTAATTGTCGCGACTAGTTTCAGCCTAATATGGACATCATCAGGCTTATAATTTACAATATAAATTAAAAAAGAACAATAAAATGTTCACTTAAAATTCACAATAAAATTCAGATATATAAGATATTTATTTTTTGAAAAAATTGTGATACGGTTAAAATATAACAATTTACATTTAAAAAATGAGAGGAAATTAAAGATTTGATGGACTTTTCCAATATAGAACTGTAGCTTTCGGTGTCAATCGAACAAGCTCATAATATCAACCTCGAGCCTTGTTGACTTGCGACCCATTCTTCAATATTCATAATTTATTTTTTCCTTTACATACGATCTTCTGCTTTGAGGGTACGATATTTCTTAAATTATTTTAGTTGTCCATTTATTATAGCAATATTATTATTGATTTGAAAATGTTACCAGAGTTGTCAGATTGGATTAAAACTTCTCCAGATATGGTGAAAATAAAAATTGTTTATTGCATACGTTATGCAGATATTAAAAATATAGCATTTTTACTAGTTTAAAATATGCCTTAATATTTTTTAAACAGTGGAAATTTATCCAGTTCTAGTAAAAAGAGAAAATTATAAGGATTATTGGAAAATTCAGCAAAAATTCTATTCACGAAATAAAAAAAATATTTATTGAGAAATCATACGCAACGTTGTCAGATTTGGTGAAAAATTACCAGTTCTGGAGAAAAAATATTTACTTGAAAACTAAGTTATCAGATTGGGCAAAAACTTCTCCTGGTCTAGTGAATGGAGAAAATTATCAAAAAAAAATCTGCCTTATTATCAAATTCAGAAAAAAAAATACTTTTAGATAGAAAAATAAAAATATTATTTATTAAAAATGATACTACTCATGTGCAAAGTTGTCAGATTAGGTACAGTCTCCAGATCTCGGGATCAGGTTCATTATTTTTATAAAAAAACAAGTATTTGATGGGTTGTCAGATTGAGTGAAAATTTCTTCTGGTCTGGACAGGATCCAGAACCTTTTCAGAGTGAGGGGTAGCAATTTGCTGGGTTCATAGCCGTGGACTGATTCGTTCATTAGATTTCAACGGTCAAAGGTATCAACTGCTAGGGTTATTATTCTCAATGAAAGGGGCAAAAGCCCCATTACCCACCCTTGGATCCGCCGGTGGATCTGGGGAAAAGAGAACATTATCAGAAAATGTCTGCCATACTGGCTAATTCTGAAAAAAATACTTTTAGATATCGAGAACATTAAATTTTAAAAAACAGAATTATTTATTAAAAAATATACAACTCGCGTGCAAGGGTGTCGGATTTTGTGAAAAATCTCTAGATCTGTGTAAAATATATTATTTATAAGGAAACAACTAAATGCTGGGTTGTCAGGTTGGGCAAAAATTTCACCAGATCTGGGGATAAATGTACCTTCTGGTAACGAATGTTATCAGAATTTTTTTTGTGTACAAGGTTGTCAGATTGGGTAAACATCTCCAGATATGGGGAAAAATATATTATTTATCAGAAAAATACTTCAAATCAAGGAAAAATTAATTTTAAATCATACAACTCGATTGCAAAGTTGTCAGATTGGGTGGTGAAAATCTCCAGATCCGGGAAAATATAGATTAATTTAAAAAAAAAACAAGTGGAGTTGTCAGATTGGACGAAAATTTTACCAATCTGGGAATAAATGAAAAAATACTTTTTATCTTGGGGAAATTAAATTTTAAATCAAGTGCAAGGTTGTCAGATTGGCTGAAAAATCTCCAGATATGGGGAAAACAGATTATTTAAAAGAAAATAACTATGTGCTGGATTGTCAGATTAGGCGAAAATTTACCAGATTTGGAGATATCCATAATTTGTTGAGGACCTAACCATTTTAGAAACTAACGAATTTTATCAGAATAAATAGTTTTAGATCTAGGAGAAATACAGTTTTCAAAAAATATTGTAAATGTTAAAACTAAAGTGCAAGGTTGTCAGATTGGACGAAAATTTCACCAGATGTGTCGTATCAATAACCTTTCAGAGACCTAACAATTTTAGAAGATAACGAAAAGTATCAGAAAAAAATTTTAGATTTTGGAAAATGTCCGATCGGGCGAAATTTTCTCCAGATCTAGGGATAAATATGTCTTGTTCATAATAATATCAGAAAAATATAATAAATTTTGAGGAAATGAAATTTAAAAAATATATTAAATAGGTTGTCAGATTGGGTGAAAAAGCTCCAGATATGGGGAAAAGTTATAGTATTTAAAAGAAAATAACTATGTGCTGGATTGTTAGATTGGGCGAAAATTGCAGCAAATCTGAGGATAATTATGTGGTATCAATAACAAATATTGTCATAAAAATACTTTTAGATTTCAGAGAAAAGAAGTTTGAAAAAAGAAAAATTATACAACTCTTTTGCGAGGTTGTCATAATTGGTGAAAAACCTCCAGATCTAAAGAAAATATATATTATTTATAAGAGAACAACTAAGTGATGGGTTATCAGATTAGGCGAAAATTGCACCAGATCTGGGGATAAATATCCATAATCTTTTGGGTTCCTAATCAGTTTAGCAGGTACTGAATGTTATTAGAAAAATACTTTTAGATTTTGTAGAAATTAAATTTGAAAAAATATATTTTTGTGTGAATCAGATTGGGTGAAAAATCTCTAAATCTGGAAAAAAATGTATATCATTTATAAAACAATAACTATAAGAAAAACATTATTTTTTGGAAATTATACAACTCGTGTGCAAGGTTGTCAGATTGAGTGAAAAATTTCCAGATCTGGGGAAAAGATACATTTATAAGAAAACAACTGGATGCTGGGTATTATTAGAAATTATACAACTGTTGTGCAATGTTGTCAGAGTTGCTGAAAAATATCCAGATCTGAGGAAAAGATACATTATTTATAAGAAAACAACTAAGTGCAGGGTTGTCAGATTGTGCCGAAATTTCACCAGATCTGGGGATAAATGTGGAATCCATATCTGTTATCCACTTTAGAAAGCAACGAATATTGTCAAAAACATACTTTTAGATTTCGGAATAATTAAATTTAAAAAAAAAATTGTTAATTGAAAATTATACAACTCGTGTTCAAGCTTGTCAGATTGGGAGGAAAACTTATAAAGAAACAAGTGCAGGGTCAGATTAGGCAAAAATTTCACGAGATATATGGATAAATATGTCTTATCCATAATTTGTTATCCATTTTAGAATGCAACGAATATTGTCAGAAAAATAAATTTCGAGGAAATGATATTTAAAAAAAAAAACTATAGGAAATTACAACTCGTGTGCAAAACTGTCAGATTGGGTGAAAAATCTCCAGATCTGGGGAAAATATACATTATTTATAAAAGAACGACTAAGTGCTGGGTTGTCAGATTAGGCGAACATTTCACCAGATCTGGGGATAAATATCAATAATCTATTGAGTATCTAACCATTTTATAACGAAACGAATATTATTAGAAAAATACTTTTAAATATTGTGAAAATTAAATTTGAAAAAATATATATTATTTATAAGAAAACAATTAAGTGCGGGGTTGTCAGATTGGGCAAAATTTAACCAGATCTGGAGATAAATGTGGTATCCGTATGTTATCCACTTTAGAAAGCAACGAATATTGTAAAAAAAAATACTTTTAGAATTAAATTTAAAAAATATTGTTAATTGAAAATTATACAACTCGTGTTCAAGGTTGTCAGATTGGGAGAAAAATTTCCAGATATGGAGAAAAGATACATATTATTTATAAGGAAACAAGTGCTGGGTTGTCAGATTAGGAGAAAATTTTACCAGATCTAAGGATAAATATATCGTATCCATAATCTGTTTTCTATTTTAGAAGGCAACGAATACTGTCAGAAATAATACTTTTAAAATATCGAGGAAATTAAATTTTAAAAAGTTATTGGAAATTACAACTCGTGTGCAAGGTTGTCAGATTGGGTGAACAATCTCCAGATCTGGGGAAAAGATAAATTATTTATAAAAAAAAAATTGTTAATTGAAAATTATACAACTCGTGTTCAAGCTTGTCAGATTGGGAGGAAAACTTATAAAGAAACAAGTGCAGGGTCAGATTAGGCAAAAATTTCACGAGATATATGGATAAATATGTCTTATCCATAATTTGTTATCCATTTTAGAATGCAACGAATATTGTCAGAAAAATAAATTTCGAGGAAATGATATTAAAAAAAAAAACTATTGGAAATTACAACTCATGTGCAAAACTGTCAGATTGGGTGAAAAATCTCCAGATCTGGGGAAAATATACATTATTTATAAAAGAACGACTAAGTGCTAGGTTGTCAGATTAGGCGAACATTTCACCAGATCTGGGGATAAATATCAATAATCTATTGAGTATCTAACCATCTTATAACGAAACGAATATTATTAGAAAAATACTTTTAAATATTGTGAAAATTACATTTGAAAAAATATATATTATTTATAAGAAAACAATTAAGTGCGGGGTTGTCAGATTGGGCGAAATTTAACCAGTTCTGGAGATAAATGTGGTATCCGTATATGTTATCCACTTTAGAAAGTAACGAATATTGTCAAAAAAAAAATACTTTTAGAATTAAATTTAAAAAATATTATTAATTGAAAATTATACAACTCGTGTTCAAGGTTGTCAGATTGGGAGGAAAATTTCCAGATATGGAGAAAAGATACATATTATTTATAAGGAAACAAGTGCTGGGTTGTCAGATTAGGAGAAAATTTTACCAGATCTAAGGATAAATATGTCGTATCCATAATCGTTTTTTATTTTAGAAGGGAACGAATACTGTCAGAAATAATACTTTTAAAAATCGAGGAAATTAAATTTTAAAAAGTTATTGGAAATTACAACTCG